AGCTTTACCGATACGGGTTTTCTGTTTCGCAAAGTTTGGGAATGTTTCTCTACTTCAGGCTTCAAGCTTCCGTGTGCATGTGCTTACTTTATCCATAATACTACCACCTCCTGTTCCCCAAACTTCTTCAATGACCTTCTCACAAGCAGCATGTTTTGACCATAGAGTGCAATCGCCCCCCTTTTCATCGAAATATGTCATATATATTTTAGTAGATATATAAATACTTACATTGTCTTTTAAACATACCCTTTATTTTTGCGCTTTCATTTATGCCTGCATTTGTTTTTCAAAATATAAATTACTAGGCTTTTGGCCCGCGCTTTGCTGCGGTGGAAAATTAATTCTTGTTTGAATCACTTAAATTAATTTAATAATTTAGTTGAAATCAAATAGTTCAAAAATAGTTGGATAAGATCCTTCCATAAGTTAAGAATAATATTATCTATGATTAAATAGTTGTGTTAAATTAACTTACCTTCCAATATTTGTGTGTAATGCAAATTAATGAGATGGTTAACAGTTTAGTAAAATTTTATATTTTAATTAAAACTTATATGCAAAATATTTATGTATTACATAGTGTCTTACAAAAGATTTATCTAATACATGAGGAATAATTATATCTATATAAGCGTTATGTATGAATTTTTACTTTACGTAATTGTTATAGAACAATGTTATGTAAATTATTCGTAATGTGTAGTATAATGATAAAATCAGGCAAGTTATTTAAAGTATCACATTCGATTAAATGACTATGTAAAAATTATATTACCTTATAGGACTTTTGCGTAATGCAAATATATTTGTATTATGAAAATATGTTAATTATAGGGGAAAAGGAACTTATGGATACGTAAGACTTATTTGATAAACTCTGTTCAATTGATACATAAGGAATAATTATCCCTCTATAAGTTTTTACGTATGAATTTTTAAATTACATAATTGTTATAGAACGTTACGTAAATCTTTGGTAATATGTGGTCTAATGATAAAATCAGATAAGTTATTTAAAGTATCACATTTGGTTAAACTACTATGTAAAAGTTATCTTACCTTACAGCTTTTTTAGGTTATGCAAATTGATGAGATGTTGAACATTGTAGCTATTAGCTAATAGTTACGTAATGTATTTGTATTACGCAAATATAGTTGACTACAGGGGATAAAGAACTTATGGCTACATAATACTTATTTAATATATTCTGGTCAATTAATATAAGGAATGATTGTCCCTTGATAAGTTTTTACGTATGATCTATTGATAAAATCAAGCAAGTCATGTAAAGAATCACATTCAATTAAACTAATATGTAAAAGTTATCTTATCTTACATAACTTTTGTGTAATACAAACTGGTGTTATGATGAACATTGTAGCTCATAATCAGTTTTACGTGTGATATATCTGTACTACACAATTATAGTTGACTATAGGGGAAAAAGAAATCATGGTGAAATTGGGTGTTACCAAAAAAATCAGCGGTATGATTTTTGGTGTTGAAATTATAGTTTAATCGTTGTACAACCGTTTCATAACGCTAAAAACAACCTATCGATTTAGACTCGATAGAAGATTTTTTACTTGGACCGAATTGTAGTTTAACCGTTGTACAACCATTTCATAACGCTAAAAACAACCTATCGACTTGGACTCGATAGCAGATTTTTCCGGTTGGACCGTCAGTACTGTACGGATTTTTAATCCTTGCTTTTTTGTCATGGTTACCAATAAAAAGTTTGAATCATTATCAATAGAAATCTCTAAATGTTGGAATATAATGGTGAAATGGAGGAGACAGTGGCCTTTGGTGTGTCAATTGTCGGTGGTCATCAAGAAAAAGCTTGAAACCCTCACTTGGCCAACCCAAAAAAAAAAAATTGCGCGGTAAAGAGCTAGGAAACAAATTAGAACTAACCGCAGGGAATCCATTCCCTAATAAACAGTGGAATTCAATTATGGTAAACCCGATTATATCGTAAGGAACAGTGCTTTAAACTTGTCAATTAATAATTCTAATAATTCTAATAATAGTTTGACTACATAGCATAACAAAGGTAGTACAAGATAAGTTAACAAAATGTTTTTAAAATTTTATAACCATGATTTAATCGTAACATATAAGTGAATGACGTTGTTGAAATAAAGTAACACATTCACATAACATTGTAGCCGTATAACATAGAACAAAATTGGTTAGGTATATACTACGAGTTGCTAGATTGACTGCAAAACCCCATTTGGCGTAGCTTTTCGTGATATTTATGTACGGTATATGTCAAAAACCAGTTGCTCCCAATAACAACACGCCCTCTCAAACGAAAGCCACTCACAATGGCTTGAAATTTGCACAGGTCTGAAGACAAGAATACCATGTGCTTAACAAATGGGGGTCACCGGGAATCGAACACAAGACCTCTCGATCACAGTAGGTTCTGATACCATATCAAGAACCAATTGATCCCAATAACTCTAGTTGCTGGGAGAAGGTTCTGCTGGATCTTATACCACTCTCTAACACGCCCTCTCAAATGAAAGCCAACCCATGGGCTTGAAGTTTCCACAGGCCCACCATACCATGTGCTTTAGTCAACTGTTAATATTGGGAGTCGTGGAGATTCGAACACACGATCACTTGGTCAAACCAGCTCTGATACCATGTCAAGAACCAGTTGCTCCCAATAACTCGAGTTGTTGGGAGAGGTTCAATCGTGGATCATATACCACAACACTAACAGTATATGCTTCGTGCAAGCATTGGACAATTTTTTGGTAAGACCGGCTAGTATGTAACTAAGATTATTAATGGTATTACCAAGCAATGAGAAAGGACTAAGCTTGTAAATTCTGCACATATTACCCCTCTAGTTGAGCTGTAAATTGGGTATAACGTAATGTAAGGGTAATTAACTAAGGTTATCTGTTAAAAACTTCAAATAAGGTTATTGTCACTAAATAACAAGAATCATTTTGTTTACCGGTAACTTTACACAGAAAAACCCCCCAAATTTTGGATGGATCCCAGGCTCCAAACTTGATTACTTTGTCTTAATCGTCTATTTTGCTCATACACCTTTCAGTAAGTACATCACAGTCCCCGCTACTTGCAAACTATACTGACAATATGCATTTAGTTATTCTTGTAATTACAGAAGAGGTATGTGCGCTTCCAATTATTGTATGTACCCTGCCTTCAAGAGACGTACGGGAAGCAAGCAAGCAGCCATAGCCAAAACCATGGGCGGTTTTTTTCCAGTTTTCAGTTTCCTGCTGGCTGCTGCTGCTGCTATTGGACTGGTTAGTACAACAACAACAACAACAAAAGCTGCCGAGCATGTGCCGCCGTGAAAACTCGATTGGTACTCCTTTGTCCTCCATCCAACTGGTGGAAACAGTGAGTACTTGGCTGACCAGATCCACCAAAAAGGGGATGATTGCATTCTATATGGTATCCTAAACCTACACAACACATTGATCACGAGCAGCCCAAGCTTAATTTCTAGAAAAACTTCACAGTTCCAGACCACTGCTTAGATTACATCTGTAGACATAAGTTTCTCATCTTCAAGTCGTGCTAACAACTGTCTAAGCCAAACGAGAGAGAGGGAGGAAATCTTACGAATATTAGCTGAATTTTTTGAGATATTTTCGTGTGTAGCTAGATTGACGTGTTCATACAAAATGCGCGACATATTCACTCAATAAAATTTGACATATTCATGCAACACAATTAGAACATTCATGTTGAATTCACTTATCTCGTAATGATGTTTTAGTAATCCTTATTTCATAAGTGTTTTGTTTTTTTAGTAATTCTTATTGTTTAAGGATTACTAGTACCTTAAGAATTAGCTATAACCTTCATGGTTACACCTTTAGCCTTCTCTTCCATATTCATTATGTGTGATACATCTATTCACCCTTGTTTTTGTTAATCCGCTTTGCACTGACACTGAAAAGGTCTATTCAGATCAAGTTTATATGACCTAATCATTTGAGTTAGGGCTGGCCAACCTCTTCATAGAAAATATCAAGTGATATCATACTCCTTTTATATGAGTGACGAATTCTCATTTGCTCTATCAGATCTCTTTTTCATATTTCGCTCTGTACCCAATAACTATCTACTTGCTACATACTCATTACAAATCAACAAACATGTATAGTGTCAAATTTAGGATGCTAACTTGGGGTAACTTTTTGGTAAGTTCCAGTATGTGAACATTCAGAACACGGTGAGGATGACTTGATGATAAGCCTCAATGTTGGTTATTCATGTCTAATGTCTCAAACTTTGGTGGGTGGTCCAACACTTTGGTTAACTCATACTCTTCATATATGCCTATAAAGTGATACAATACATCACCTATGTCAGCTGTCTCCACATTGTGTCTCAAGACATGCCAATACAACACTTGACCAGAGAATTAAATTCAGGGTTAATGATTCAGTGTTCAATCCAAATACAACAACAATTGAAATAACACCGATCAATATTCACGATTTTTATTGATTAAAAGGATCGCTCAGATATCTCAAATCAACACTTTGACACAACTTAAAACTTTCTGACACCACTACCAAAAAGTTAGGTCCAAAACAGAACAGGTACTTGTAACCTGTTCTTCCAGGCCGAGAACATCAGTAATTATTAGCGTGACTCCAACCAACTAAAGCTACTAGCTTGTAACTCTGCATTTTTTACACCAGAACTCCAGTCTTAAGAACAACAACTAAAATCTTCTCTGCACTTGTTAAGTGGAGAAAATGGAGGGCAGGGCTGCTGAACAGCAGCAGGAGCTTTCCCTACCCATCAGCAACTTAGCAATTTTGTCCTCTTATCTTTCCTCTCTATCAACCTGATATACATTACAGTGAGTAATTAAGTTTGGCTCCAACTCTGTCGCCCCTGTTCTGCCTCTGTTTCTGGGTATGATAATAATGCAGTTTTGATTAAGGTAGCGTATATGTGGTGGGAAAGCATCACAGGATTTGGTGTTTGTAATATCATAATAATATTATCAAAATATATCAAAACCAAAACACACACCACCACCATGGCCACATATTCAAAGCAGCTATAGCTTCACGGACCATTTTAAGAGCGAGAAGACGACACCCACGAGACTAACAAGGAGAGAAACAATTTAATGTGCAGCCAAAAAAAAAAAAAACTTAAAGACGAGAGCTTATTCTGTTGCATCGATATAAAGGGAGGGAAGATAGCTCGCATGAGAAAGAAGGAGAAGCCCAGCTCTCTCTCTCTCTCTCTCTCTCTCTCTCTCTCTCTCTCTCTCTCTCTGTTTTCTCCTCCTTCTCCCAATTAATACCCACATTTTATTCCTCTGTTCTTAATAAATTCCTCACCCTGTCTTCCGCCGCTTTTCACACACAGGCAGGGGAAGATGGGAAGGCCGAGTTTGAGAAGCTTCACGTCCATGGTGTGCATTGCTTTCCTGGTCTGGTCATCGTCCAGCTTCGAGAGCTGCATTGCGAGGAGCGGGAGGCGGCATTGGAGGAGGCATGACGGCGACAATGGGCTTTCAGCTTCTCTGTCAAAGAAGAAACCCAAAAGCCATGGAAGCAGCAGTCACCACCATCACAATGGTGGGCCGTCAAAGAAAGCTCCTCCTTCCGCACCAGCTAAAGCGCCAAATTCACCTGCTCCGTCGTCGAAACCGCCGAAACATGTTCCGGTAGCATCGCCGGCGCCTCCTCCTCCTCCTCCCACTGCTGCAACTCCGGCGCCGCTGAAAGACTCGCTTACGTTCAATGTGCTTGATTTCGGCGCCACGGGGGATGGAAAGTGCGACGACACTAAGGTAATTTGACGACTCAATTTGTTACGCCATGTCTGTGCACTCAATTTGTCTGAAATGAAATTCCACCATGTTTGTTAGTCAGTTAATTAGTTAACTCCAAGTTCAGAGTCATGGTCCAAAACAGAAACAGAGTCGGGGCAGAGAAATGATTCCCTTTTCCTCCATTTGTTACGAAATACGAATGTTTGTTGCTTTTGCTAATGATTACAGAGGCAACCACCAACCAATTTAGGCTCGTGAGCCAGATTGGGCCATTTAGAGAAGAAAAAGCAGCCATTAAAATGGAACCCAACACATAAAAATGAATTAGCCATCTGCAGAGCTAAAGGAAGGCGACAAATGAAAGTGACAGGACAGATGGTGACAAAAGTAGTTAATCAGTAGCTTACAAAACAAATAAATCATTTCTCGTTATGCCGGCCGGTTTATACAGTTGGATTATTATATTTGATGAGATTGTGGTTGTTGATGGGATTTATGTTATGTGGTATGAGCAGGCGTTTCAGGCAGCATGGGCAGCTGCCTGTAAAGTGGAGAGATCAGTGATGCTTGTTCCTGAGAAATATCAGTTCCTCGTTGGACCCATTTCTTTCTCTGGTCCATACTGTCAGAAAGGCATCACCTTTCAGGTCAGCTCCATTAACCTTACCTAATTCCTGCTTACCAGCAGACTAGTGGAGTCTTACAAGTTAAATCTTGCAGGTGGATGGTACAATTGTGGCACCCATGAACTCCAACGCCTGGGGCAAAGGCCTGCTGCAGTGGCTGGAATTCTCCAAGCTTGTGGAGATCACAATTCAAGGGAAAGGCACCATTGATGGGAGTGGTTCAGTTTGGTGGCAAGACAACCCGTATGTCGAACCTGACAATCTAGCACCACAGATCATCCCTTTGGACAACAGCACATTGTTACAGAAACACCCACCACCGCTACAAACTGAACTCAGCAGCAAAATGCCAAGCACCAAGCCAACGGTAAGGAACATGATGCCAATTGCAGCAGCAGCAGCATAAAACTGTTCTGTATCCGCGAGCTCGTGCCATATCCTAACCCGAATATTCGATTAACAAAAAAAAAAAAAAAAACTGCAGGCGGTGAGGTTCTATGGAAGCCTGAATGCAACCGTGACAGGGATCACGATTCAGAACAGTCCTCAGTGCCACCTGAAGTTCGACAACTGCATTGGCGTGATGGTGCATCACATTCGAGTCTCGTCCCCAGGAGATAGTCCCAACACCGATGGAGTCCACTTGCAGAACTCCAGAGATGTGCTCATCCACAGCAGCACCCTTGGTTGCGGTAACTACACTGCATTATTTGATCAATTACTCTTTTACTTAATCCACACACACACACACACAAAAAAAAAAAAACTCTTCAAATCTTATCTTCCTCCATGCACCCAGTAGCCACAAATTACTTGGACACCTGGCTTCCTTCCCTTTTGGCTGTTGCTCCACAGCCACTGGATTCCTGACACATGTGAGTACATACACAAGAATCATCATCTGGCACATGCCATTGATCAATCCTCGAGAATGGACCACAAACACTAGAAATACCTCTACATTTTTTATTATCCTCCCCTGCTCTCATCTTGTCCTCTTTCCCCTCAGTGAAAAATGTCAAAAAAAAAAAAGAGAGGTTCACATGTTGATCTCCAAGAGTCAACCAAGACTTGACTGTACTGAACTCCTGTGAGAAATAACCTGACAATTGAACAAACTAAATGTAAAACCGCAAGTGGGTGATTAAATAATCTTCTGGATTTTTGCAGGAGATGACTGCATTTCCATACAAACAGGGTGCACAAACGTATACATACACGATGTGAACTGCGGTCCAGGCCATGGCATCAGCATCGGCAGCTTGGGAAGGTATAACACACGAGCCTGTGTCTCCAACATCACCGTGAAAAATGTCAACATGCACAACACCATGACCGGCGTCAGGATCAAGACTTGGCAGGTACTCCATTCCCTTCCATCAATGTCAATCTCTAAACTAGAGATTCTCCTCCCACAATCTACGATTAAATACGACAGCGGATTGTCAAGAACCACTTAATCCCAATAACTCGAGTTGTTGGGAGAGGTTCTATAATGGATCTTATACCATACACTGATTACCTGCAATTCTTTCCCCTCTTTTTTTCTCCTGCAGGGTGGATCAGGCTCGGTGTCCGGGATCATGTTCTCGGACATCCAGCTCACCGAGGTCCAGTTCCCGATCGTGATCGACCAGTTCTACTGCGACAAGTCCACCTGCAAGAACCAATCCTCGGCGGTGTCGGTGTCGGGGATCAACTACCAACGAATCAAAGGCACATACACGGTGAAACCTGTGCATTTCGCCTGCAGCGACAACCTGCCGTGTATAGACATCAGCTTGACGAGCATCGAGCTGAAACCGCTGCAGGAGAAGTACCATTTGTACGACCCGTTCTGCTGGGCGACGTATGGAGAGCTGAACACTCCCACCACCCCTCCGATCGAATGTCTGCAAATCGGCAAGCCAACGAGCAACCGCCCACAAACCGATCACGACACGTGTTAGAATCGCCGCGCGGATCGAACGGATTTGTGTGGTTGGGCAATCATTTTCCTGACCCCATATCCGCACACCTTAAGCAAAAAAAAAAAAAAAAAAAAAGTTTTTATCAGGTTCATATATAGTTTACCGTAGCAGTCCTGCTTGAAGAATTAGTTCATGTAAAATATCCGCGAGAGTTATATAGAAGAGTGTGTTTTTTTTTTTTTTATCATATGGAATATGATTTGTACTATACAACCAAGCAATTTATTTGCATATGCATTGGGTTGGTAGATGAAGATAATATATATGTTCTATGAGTGGTTGTGCAACATCTCGTGTTTTTTGCCTCCAACATATATGCAGACTCTTTTTTTTCTAGATTTGCGGCCGTGATAGATAAATCAGATATAAACTCAAATTTAAACTTGACTAAAAACCACTAGACTAGTACGTCGGGATAGTTTTGAATGAGCGAAGCAAGTTACAATACTTTTCAAAAGATTATCAAAATTAAACTAAATTTAATCGACTAAGGGGTCGATTGGAAGTTGCGATTGTTAAATAGATGTATTGTTGAGAATGCATGTATAATATTATACATGTATTGTCGAATTTGATGCATTGTATAATACCACGTTTGGTATGTGTGATTGTGTATGTCGCATCAGCTAAAAGCCGAGACAAAACAATATCAACTCCACTATCTCAACAATCACAACTAAAAGTTGAGATATAACAATCACTCAAAATGAGTGATAGTTTCTGTCACATCATATGTCGATGAACACATGAGCTGACATCTTATATGTCGTTCAAGTGGTTAGTGTCATATACTTAACGAACAAACTACCCGACCTCAAAACATGACAAACATTTAATTTGTAACGATTCGGTAACAAACCTTTTCATTTAAAACAAAACGGTCACAAATTAAATAGCGGTGACCATTTTATACAATTTCAAAGTTTTGTTACCATATTGTTACAAATTAAAGGTTTGTGACCGTTTTGTACTAAGTGCAAAGGTTTGTTACCATTTATACTAATTACCCTTCTAGCCCATGTTCAAAACAATATATTTGTAAATTGTAAGCAGGCCAGATCCAGCAGAATCTGATGGGCCTAGTCCACTTTGGCTCACGAGATATAGTCCTTACTCCCTAGTCGCTACTTTAGAAATGCGACACCGTATTGATTTAGTTTACTCACACAATTCGGATCGGACCTCGGATTTGCATTTCCTTTGGGCTTTAAGCCCAGATCATTTGGGAATTTGTGGGAGGCCCACATTGACATAAGGCGCTTTGCTTACGTGGGAGTTGGGACGGAATCGAATAAGTTATTCGTTCGTTTCGTGTTTCAATCTTCTCTCCGTCTCCGATCAACGTGCAGCAACAGAAAGCCCCGCTGGGAATTCAGTGTTCAGCTTTCATCTTCTTTCCGCCGGAGACTTGAACGTGCAGCTCGTCCAACTCCCGGGCGGAAACATGGAAACTTCCGTCCTCGGATTCCTTGGTAATTTTGGCGCCCGATAAGGTGGGGAAGAAGAAGAAGAAGAAAGGAAAGGTATATTTGTAATTGCAAGTAAATTTTTCAATGAGTGGGAATGAGTTCCGCTTCTTCTTGTCGTATGACATCAATCTCCCTGTCACATTCCGAATCGAGAGATTGGAAGGATCACTGCCTCCTGTCGAATTCCCCGATTCTGGTTAGCATGCTTCTTTTTCCTTTTTCGCGTTAAAGTTTTCTGCTTGAATGAGCTTGGCCACAAAATTTCGACTTGATTCAGCTCAATTGCACTACTTAAATTGACCCATAATTGCTAGAGAACTGGACTACCTTGTTTATAGTGTGCCTGTGACAGTCCGAAGGAACTATTGCAAGATGTATGATCATGAGAGAGCGAATTTCGCTGAAATGTTGGTTTCAGGGATTGTATTACTTAGCGTTTGAGTGAGGCCCTGAAGGTCTCCTGTCTTGTACTATAGGAATAAAACATCGCTTAATTTTGTTACTTGTTTTACATTGCGCATAGTGTCTCTGCTAGTTATGGGTAGCAGGAATGAAGGGCTTGTAATCCCGTGGACTGCTTTAACTTTCGCTTACAAATTTTTCACTTCGTGTTTATTCTCCAGGAATTGATCCTGCTGCGGAAGAGAGAAGAGCAGAGTTGTATGTTGAGTGTGTATTATGTATGGATGGCGCTCCCTTTGGTCTTCCCATGAGAACAAGGTTTACATGACTTTTTTCAACTAGTTTTCCTTTGTTATCATGTCAATTGTCCCCGCTGGTCCATATCTTTTTGGGTTAGTATACGTTAGTTTGACTTGTTTTGCTGTCATACCTCCATTTATTTAATGTTTCGCCAGGTTAGAGACCAATGGATCGGCTTACTGCTGGAATGAACTCATCACGTTGAGTACTAAATATAGAGACCTCGGTAGATACTCACAGCTTGCTTTAACAGTAAGTCCACAAACTAGTTACTTTCACCTCTTCTCTATGAAATGCATCGGCCATGTGAATTCCGGTGCTTACTGAGTTACGAAATGCTGTTGTCAGTTGCTGTCTTTTGTTGGTTGAAGATTTTGTTCTTGGCTGTGCTGCAAATTAGATTGGCAACAGACGAAGCTTGCATCTTTCTACTCCCTCATTTGGGGTTGAACTCTTGTTAATGTTGATCTATTCGGAAATTCAGGTTTGGGATGTTTCCCATGGAAAAAATGAAGGCCTAATTGGTGGGGCTACCATTCCTCTTTTCAACAGTAAGTTGCAACTCAAAACAGGCAAGCAGAAGCTTAGGCTTTGGTTGGGCAAAGTAGCTGATGGATCATTTCCAACAACTACTCCTGGAAAGGTTCCTGCTGAATCCTTTGCTGGTAACTTTGGACTGGAACACAATCTGACGTGCTTCTGAGTACAGGTCCCCAGGCATGAGCGTGGAGAATTGGAACGTTTAGAAAAGCTTCTGAATAAATATGAAAGGGGGCAGATTCAGCGTGTAGATTGGCTTGATTGGCTTACGTTTAAAGCTATGGAGAAAATCAAAGGCCTCGAGAGCTCTAAAACTGGGAGTTCACACCTGTACTTGGTTGTTGATTTCTGTAGCTTTGAACATAGAGTTGTTTTCCAGGTATCATCCTCTTTCGTGTGCTTTCTGTTAGTGGTTACTGGTCATCATTTTCTAAGTACGTCATTCAGATTGTGATACCTTCGGATTTGAACTTTATTGCAAGATCTAGATAACATTAAGGTGTGTGAATGTGACTTTTTCTTTCTCCCTCGTAGGAATCAGGGGCAAATTTTGTATTACCATCACCTATTTCTTCAACAAATGAACTTGTTATTGTTTGGGACCCTGAAGTGGGTAAGATAAATCCTTCTGAGCACAAGCAACTGAAGCTAGCAAGGAGCTTAACCCGAGGTATCATTGACAAGGATTTGAAGCCAAGCAACAATGAGAGAAAGTAAGTGAGCAAGTGGATAGGTCTTAGTATCAAATTTTCGTTGCTTATAATTTCCGAGCTTAAATTGTCTGTTTTATAGGTGTGGGCGTAAAGTTATTTTTGTTGGACTGTCAAGTTGATGAACGCGCTATCAGTGTAGAGCATGTAGTTGTTAACAGAGTATATGACAGCTCTCGTGGAAATTATACTTTTACAGGTCAATACAAAGAATTTTGAAATACCCACCAACACGATATTTGAGTGGAGATGAGAAACAGCTGTTGTGGAAATTTCGCTTCTCGTTGATGACTGAGAAGAGGGCACTCACAAAGTTTCTCCGATGTGTGGAGTGGAGTGATGTTCAGGTTAGCATCGAGTCTTGTTCTTCGGTCCTCCACTTCATAGTCTATTGTAAGGACTGAAAGAACTTGGCCATAAGCATTTAGTTGTCTGAATAATCTGTGTATATGTGTTTCTTTTTAATATTCATGATTGTTGTCAAATATCATCGAAATGTTTGTGCTTGATTGATGCAAACAAGATATAGGATTCTGATAGATGTTACGCTATCTATATGCAGGAAGCAAAACAAGCTCTAGAGTTAATGGGCAAGTGGGAAACAATTGATGTCTCTGATGCACTTGAGCTTCTATCTCCCCTTTTTGAAAGTGAAGAGGTGGGTCTTTGGCAAGGCTACACTAGTCAAAGCCAGTAAGCTTTCTCTACACTGTTAGGACAATTAATGGTACTGTAGGAAATCTTTTGTCGAAGCTAATACACGCATATTCAAAGTTAAGGGTCTTCAGATATCATCATGGTGGCCAAATAAGAGGATTATAATGTCCATATAATGAAAATATATTACCTTAAATCTTTGAATGCGATATGGTCGTATGCACTCTTAAATAAAGTTAGAAACTATTTGTATTTAACTATGCTTTATGCCAGCTTTTTTACATGCATTGATGTTGGTGGGTGAAACTCTTGATTTATCAAATATCTATTTGATGCTTGATCATATTCCTCCAAGAACAGGTTCGTGCATATGCTGTCAGTGTTCTGGAGAGAGCTGATGATGAAGAGCTCCAATGTTACTTGCTTCAACTAGTTCAGGCTCTTAGATTTGAACGAACAGACAAATCTCGGCTTTCTCAGTTCCTAGTGCAACGCTGTATGTACTGCATTTCTGATGTCTAAATCATGGATTCCTGTGTAGATGTATATGGTATTCGCCGAACTTTGCAATGAATCCTGTTTCCCGTATTTGAAACCTTATTGCTCTTTGACAGCATTAAACAACATTGAGTTGGCTAGCTTTCTCCGATGGTATGTTGCTGTCGAGTTTTATGATCACGGTTATACCAAACGCTTCTATTGTACTCATGAGCTACTGGAAGAGAATATGATGAAGGTATGGATTCTCAAGTCTTTTTTTATACGTCATCGTTTCACCGTTGCCTATATTCCTGCCTTAATTTATGATTCTTCAAAAAATTCTATTACCGATCATTTTTTCACTATGTGTTTTTCTCTCGGAATGAGAATACCGTCTATTTATGATCCCATTCAGTACCAATTCCACTTTGTTTTAAAATTGCATCATGGCAGTAATTGCATTCTTTTATATAATTTCGAAGTGAAGGAATTCTGTTTCTCCAGAACATTTATGAATTCTGTTTCTCCGGATCATTTTAGAGTTAAGGATATTAATGTGTGCTGTTTTAGGCTTCTATTTGCAAGTAGCAAGTGACAGGGTCTTCATTTTTTTGGACATTGTCATAACCATCCTCTTTGTAATTGCTAGTTGCAAGCTGGTCCAGATGGAGAAGATGGATTCAAGTTGTGGCAAAGTTTGGTGCGGCAGACAGAATTGACAGCACAGTTGTGTTCTATAATGAGAGATGTCAGAAATGTGCGAGGAAATACTCAAAAGAAAATTGAAAAGCTTAGGCAGCTTCTATCTGGGCTTCTTAGTGAACTCACTTATTTTGAGGAGGTATTGATCAACCAAAGTTTCCTACCGAGTCTCAGAATAATTAGTTTATTCGTGGCTGCTGAATTCTTTGACACATCAAGTCTCCTAACACCCCATTTTTTTGTTGTCAGCCCATACGATCTCCACTGGCTCCATCTCTCCTTATTACCGGCATTGTGCCTTCAGAGTCATCAATATTCAAAAGTGCACTGCATCCTTTACGCCTGACTTTCAGAACACAGACTGGTGGAACTTCTAAGATCATTTTTAAGAAGGGCGACGATATTCGACAAGACCAATTGGTACTTCCTCAGCAAGGTTTCCTAAAACCTTTTTGTTTATTTTATGTGCAGTTTTCTCTTCTCCACTTTTCTCCACAAGAGAAGTCTCCACATGCTAATACTTATAAATCTGAGATGCTTAAAGAGATTAACATTTCTTTGATACGTCTCCCGGTTTTATGAACTTGTAGGTCGTTCAAATGGTATCTCTAATGGATCGCTTGCTAAAGTTGGAAAATCTTGATCTGCACTTGACTCCATATAAAGTCCTTGCTACTGGACAAGATGAAGGCATGCTTGAATTCATCCCATCACGGTCTTTGGCTCAGGTACTTCATCTTGAATACTTAAAGGACGTTGGCCACTAAACATTATTAGTTAATCCCGTGTAGTCTGTAAATATCATATGTTATATATCCGATATGCTTGAGTACTGGCATACAGCTTCTGCGATATCCTAAATTCTTCTGAGTTATCATCCGTATGGATCTTTTTGTGGGGTCTTTGTCCTCAAAATCCAGATACTCTCAGAGCATCGTAGTATTACAAGCTATTTGCAGAAGTTTCACCCTGATGATCGTGGCCCCTTTGGTATTACTGCCACTTGCCTGGAGACGTTTATCAAAAGCTGTGCTGGCTATTCGGTCATCACGTATATTTTGGGCATTGGAGACAGGTAACCAGTTACGCTATGTTTCAGTTTCATCTGGTCATTCCAACACAAATTTATTCATCGTCTTAATCTTTTTAGGTTGTAAGAATTCTACTCGGTTCAAAATTTGAAAACCTTACAGAAAACAAACATTCTTATAACCTGTGTTTCAGAAGTTGGCCGTCATTAGTTCCCATCACACATTCATTATCTGGACTCTGGAGACCAATTTCCTTTAGTACAACATTTAGCGTGTTGCTCTTGCGATATGGCTCTTCATGCAAGCATCTCGCTCCCAACAATGCAGGCTCTGACTCTGCGTAAAAATTATAGTTTTTGTTTTTATGATGTGATCCTACAGGCACTTGGACAACCTTTTGCTTAGAGATGATGGGCGTATGTTCCATGTTGACTTTGGTTTTATTCTCGGCCGAGACCCCAAGCCATTTCCACCACCAATGAAGCTCTGCAAAGAAATGGTAGAGGCGATGGGTGGTGCAGAAAGGTATATCATTCGTCTTATCTCCCGCTTCCATGGTCTGAGACTGACTGACTGACTTTGTTAATATCTTCCCCATCAATTCCTGGCAACAGTCAATACTACACCCGGTTCAAATCTTACTGCTGTGAAGCATACAACATCCTCCGGAAATCAAGCAACCTGATTCTGAACCTTTTCCATCTGATGGCGGGTTCCAACATCCCAGACATAGCTTCTGACCCGGAGAAGGGCATACTCAAGGTAATGTGTCCACCACTCCACCGTAACAAGTCTTCTCTTAAACAAGCTTCACCAACATCCCATTTGTCAGTAGTAAGTATCTCTTAACCAATCTTCACCAAAATGCTTGCGTGGGGTGCAGCTCCAGGAGAAGTTCCGGCTAGACTTGGACGATGAAGCTGCCATCCACTTTTTCCAGGATCTTATCAACGAGAGTGTCAGCGCTTTGTTTCCGCAAATGGTTGAGACCATTCACAGGTGGGCTCAGTACTGGCGCTAAACGCACCGCTCAACCCTCCTAGTTACAGAAAGAAAACGATGGTACAATGGCCGGCAAACACAAACGGGGCAAGAAATTAGTATTTTCCTCTGTACATATGTTTTTGGCTTTTGGGTCTCAAGAATCAGGGCAGGACAAATGTCACTCACTTAGGTCTAATTACACTGTACAAACTACAAAACGTCCAAGTGAAATGGTTCATTGCTATTTATTTTTATACGGGTCAGATTCTGTGCTTAATCCTAAAACTTAAGTATACGCTAACCGTTCCGGTCTTCCTTTTCTCATTCCGGGGCTGCCGCCGGCTCCTTTTTGTGATCGGCGGTAGCCCAAAATTTTTATTTTCCTGTTGTTGTTTCTTTATCATGCTTTGTTTCTCTTGCATGTGTCTTGGGAAGGTTTCAATCGAATTTCCAGCCGTTGTGGCTTTTAGTTTTCTCCTTTCCAGTCGAGTTAGGACTCTTCTTTCAGTTTTTTTTTTATTTTTTATAATGTCTTCTTTCAGATCTATGTTCTCTGTTCTTGGGCTTGCTCGTCGTAGGAGCTGGAGTCTGCAACTTGGGAGCCTCTTCCAGATCTAGATGGTGGGGTAGTCCCTCGTTGCTGGCCTCATCTTCAAGGTGAAGCCATTCCCTTCTTTTCCTCTCCAACCTCTCTAGGTGTTTGAGTGGCTTGGTGAGCCGTCGGATGGTGGTGGGGGTTGGGTCTTCTCCGGTGGTTACAGTTGGGAAATGGTGTTTTCCGTGGAGTTTGTGGCTACATTGTGAGCTTCTACTCTTCTTCGAACCTGATCTCTCTGCCTCAGCCTCCTCTGCCTCTTCAGATTGGAGCAATCTAGTTCATATCCTTTTCCACCGTCATGCAGTCTAGTTTCTAGATTCACTGTGATGGATGCCTTTGAGTTTTCCCCAGGAGGCGGCACATGGAGTGAGTGATGATGTTCACCTACCATGGATTTCGATATGATCGGACAACCTGATTGTGGTTTTGTTGTACTTTGATTGGTTGTTTGCAAGAGAGATTCATGATGATCTATTTTTCGGTCAAGGGTTTTGCTCTTTTTGCGTGGTTGCTTGTAGACTGTGTTCTGTTCTTTGTTGTTGCATTTTGTCTTACACAGCTTTGTTTGTAACCAAATGCCCTTAGGCTTCCTCTTGTTGGAACCAGATTGTTGGTTCGTTCTCCCTCTTTGTAACTGACCAGTTTTAAGTGCAATAAAGTTCCCCTTTGTCAAAAAAAAAAAAAAGCTTTTCTATTGGCTTGGCTGGTAGGATTTTAGTTAGCTTATGGAAGATTAGTAGTTAGTTTGTTATTAAGAGTAAATTAGGTATTAAGGAAAAAATTAATAGAAATACTAGCTTGGTACCCGGTCGTTGGCCGAATTACATTGCGTTGGGTACAACAAAACCTTAAACCGATCAGTTGGATAACAACAACGTGGGAAGTAGGTTAGGTATCAGGACCAACGTGAATACGACCTTGATTCCCTCTATATGACAATGTCATTTTAGGTTAAACTTGGCCTAGGATGGGTTAGTTATTGACACGTGCTAACCATTGGCAATCATATGCACGGATGAATGTGATCAATCATCCAAGTAAATAAGAGAACTAATCCATAGCTAGAAGAGAAATAACAGTTAAAATAGAAGAAAAACCAATTGGAAAGTGATTCTTCTTCTTCCTAGCTGCTTGGGTGGATGATTGGAGATGAAATTTGCCCTGCAATTGTCTTGGGTAGGTCCAAATCATCTATAATTCTCCTTAGCTCTCTCTCTCTCTCTCTCTCTCTCTCTCTCTCTCTCTCTATCTATCTCTAACCTTGAAGAATAATCTCTAGGAGTGGGCAACGAGAAACGGATATTTGGGTATACCCGTACCTGTCCCTTGTTTTAGGCTTACGGGTACTCATATTACCCGTAATATTATTAACAGATGGGACTTGGGATTGTACATTTCTACATTAGGTAACCGCGGGTTACCCACAAATACCCATTTGGGTAATATGGGTACTCGTTATACCCATTCAAAATACAAAGGCTGAACTGAAAGGCATAAAGCAACCACCGCCACCATACTCGCCCACCTCTTCCGTCACGATGTACACTTTGACAACTCCAAATCTGTTCTCTGCTATGAAATCAAGCATCATATTAATTCCAGCATCATCAAATATAATTGATTTTTTGTACACCATGACATTTTCGTCGTAAACTGACATCCAATATGCCATCTTGCATACTCTTCGATGACCACCTATGCGACACCTTTCCTCACAAATAAGGAAGAGATCCTGCCAGCTAATTTTTCTTTCCATCCTGACAGTAGGGGTGAACAAACACACCCGCAAACCGACACACCCGTCCAACCCGACCCAACCCACCCGTATTTATCGCTAAATCGAAGGTTTTGGGTTGGGTGAGGGTTTTCTTTTGTACAATCCGCCTCTTTTTGGTTGGGTTTGGATTTTGGATTACACAACCCGTAGAACCCGACCCAACCCGTGTTCCAATTATTGGTATGAGTTCGTATCCAAAAAAATATTTATGTCGTATATAGTAATACTTATGAGAAAATTAAGATATTTCGCCATGTTTTCCTCTTAAAGTCTCACTAATCTAATGCATTCTTCGACTTAAAGTTTAGACATATATTTAATATAGTTATGATTCACGTAATTTTTTTTTCTTGTGTACAATTTTAAAAGAATATCATATTATGGATGCGTTCATTTGTAACCTTTTTAGCCTATTTCAACAAATGTCGTGAAAAAAACTAGACATAAGTTGAAGTAAATCAAGTTTAATTAAAATTCAAACAATATTTGTGAATTTTGATACCTTTCACCTCAGTTTAATCGTTTGAATTTTTAATTCGTTATAAAATATTTTTATGATGTAGAATAATTACATATTTTGTGTTGGGTTGGGTTTTTACTTAAAAATATCGACAACCCGACCCAACCCAATTAAAAACAAACCGTAGGGTTTAGATTTTTTTGGGTGAATTTGAGTTTAATATTTCCCAAACCGCAGTGCATGGGTCGGGTGATTAAAATGCTTAAACCCGGACCACCCCACCCATGTACACCCCTACCTGACAGTACTTGACTCACCACCTTCGTAGTCAACACTCTGAGATATTGTCACTCCACCATTCCAACAAATCAATTGGTTGAACTTTTTGAAATTCCTTTCCATTTATGCATTTTACAATACCAAAAGTTAGATAGAATTCAAAGTCTAAATAGAAATAAACAACCGAATATTAATCCAAAACCCTAATCCATATTTAACCTACATTCAAAGGCTAACGTAACCCATGCTTCAACCAACAAAACATACGTTGAAATGATAGAAGCTCAACGAACCAATTTAACATATCTTAAAAATAACAACCTGTACAACTAAACCTCAATATATCAAGCAAGCATTAAACCAAAACCATAATCTACATTCAAACCGCATTCAAAGGATAATGTAACCCATGTTACAACCAACATAAACAAGCATACCTTTCAATGGCAAAAACTCAATGAACCTCTTTCTTCATTGCCGAAAATTTCTTGCCTTTTTTGCTCTTTTTGTTGGTTTTTTAGATCGAAGAGATGAATGAGTTGAAAGGGTGTTGGGTATTTATTTTTGTTCACTGAGGAGTAGTTCACTGTACACCCTAGCAATCCACTCCAACTAGGAAACCTATCGCTGCACCCAGTCCTAAGATATGTCGGGAGAAAGCGATTTTACGAAATTATTGGAAGTGGTTCGCTGCACTTGGCCTAACCATGTTCTTCACTTACATTGGAAGCGAACTACATACAAATATGTCAGCATAAAGGTTTATTCAAAGTGGTTCACTTTCTTAAGCAGCGATCCACAGGAGTTCGCTTATTATTCCAGCGAACCAACGTCGTTCACTCTGCATACCAGGGAACCACTCTAGTTCGCTTCTTAGACCCGTGAACCACTTCGAGTCCGCTTTCTTTTCTAGCGAATAATGTTGTTTGCTCCCATAGCAGGCGAATTGCTTGGTGGTTCGCTTTACTATTGATAACTTTAAAATTTGTACGAAGCACACTCACGTATATCCTAAGAAGGCCAAGTATAACTGTAACACCCTACCCTATACGTTTTGCCTAATCATATTGTTCATACAATTGCAGCGGAATTAATCTCGGGTGTTATATTAATTATCAAAATTTACCCAAATAAAATTTTCGACATGAATTACTCGCGTAATGGGCTAACAGTTCTTGCAACTTATCCTGCAAAATAATTCATCATAAACATATATACTCACAACCATATACATTGGCTTTTCATAGCCATAGCCACCCTTTTCATACTCCACAACTGCATACCATAATCGTCACAACTTACACAGTTACACAACATATACACATATTATCAACTTTCCACACCTGTGGATATCTCACACTACATCAGAAGCTAGTATGCATATGAAAAACGTTCTCAAAACATTTTTACAAAAAGGTGTGGATCACTGGCCAAAATCCCGAGTAGTAGTCCAAGCACAGAATAGTTGAAGACCATACCTCATCCTGGCTTCAACAATAGCTCCTCTCCCACCTAACACTTATCTATTGCTGCTGCTGATGATCTGCTTACACATAGCATAAGCAGAGAAGAAGAATAAAAGAGGGTCAGCTCATAGCTGAATGAGATAATCATAGCATCGTGAGTTCATAACAGAGCATACCCCTACCATACATCTAGCAAACAAGCCAAAACACCAGGATCAGACCTCAGCCATCCTCATGTCCCAATGGGCAAAAGACTCAACCACCTTGACTTATGCATGTGTCTCTTATCATGTTTTACTTATAGGCGCCTGGCTACTCCCATGCTAATTACTCTCCCGGGAATACGGACCAAACATCTCGTGGATGTGGTCATATCGGACCCACCACTGCCGGTGTAGTCATATCGGACCTGACACCACTCTGGGTGTGGTCATATCGGACTCAACACCACTCTGGGTGTGGTCATATCTAATGATGAATCAACGGTCAATACCACATCAGGGGTGTGACATAACATATCATAACGGAGTAATAGCACGGGGAGCCCTAATTACTATGTAATTGACCATGAGACAAAAACACTCTCATTTGGTAATCTTATACATGATCCATATCTCATCTTGCTTAATCATAATTCGTTACTTGCACATGAACTTGACCTAGCCATAATTGGCTCAACATAGGTAAATCAGGAGTCGTATAATTGCACTTCCTCGGGATAAACCCTCGTGCAAGTCATCCTCCTTAAACATCATAATATCACCCTGGGAAGTTTATTTCCCCCACTTGTGACTCCAAATACAACCACAATATCACATCATGTCAAAACACCTGATCGAACAACCATGAAGTCATATCAACGTTTAAGCCACCAATGGCAACATATATGCAATCATCAACATAAACAAGGTCCATATCGGATAGGGCAAGTCAATAATATCATACAGTAGTCCATGATTCATCATATAGCACAAAAGTTCATACACCCCTAATCATGCCATTCTAGTTCACCTAGGTCAATTCCAAGCATCAATATACTTATCGTGATACGACAAACCCGGTATGCCGTGCTAATCCCTCACCAGTTCTGGTCGTTCAAACACCGATTTAAGCTTCCCGTACTAAAACGTCAATTTCACCAACGAATCCCGAATTAAAATCCGAGACCGTCCTTATATCCCCTGCAGTATCCCCGTCAATATTAGTTCTAGGCTCCGGGTCAAATTCTTGATAAAAACACATCAAACCCTGGCCGGAGCTAAATTCAGCGGTTTGGACCCCAGCCTAAATAATAGCCGAAATTCAGGGATTAGAACTAGAGGATTGATTACCTCGCTGCAGGAAGCTCGTATATGAAATTTGGGCTCAATCCGGCTTCCGGATACTCCGAAACCCTAATTTGGCTTATCGGGAATTCAAGAAATTCCTGAACCAAAATCTCATTTTAAAACTCTAAATCGATAAATCACGATGTATAAATGAATTAGGCATTACTTACGGGATTTTTGGATCACTAGGGCTCAAGATTGGAGCTTTGGAAAATTTTTCCTCGTCGCTCCCCTGTACCTCCTCTGCTCGCTCTGTTTCCGTTTCCTCTCGGGTTCAGAAAGAGAAAAGATGATGATGATTGAAATAAATGGACGAGAAGCTTTATATATATATATATGGACCGACCGTTTAATGTAATTATATATATAATTATATATAATATATTTATATATAATTAATGCATATACTTATCCGATCAATCGATAATTCGATTTTCGTCGAAATAATATCAAAACGCTCGATTTTAAATCGCGAACTTTCTAGCGATCGAAATATGGGTTTTGCCGGAAGGGGATGTTACAATAACAATACTAGAGATGCAATATAGTTGTTCGGTTGTCCATGAGTCACGATATCGTAGGTTTCTTAGGGTCTGTTTTATCTAGTCGACGTGTTACTTAGCAGGTGGACAGTTGGATATTAATGAACTAGAGGTCAATAAAAGAGAAGAGGTACTTTGGGTGCCTCCTCGCTCTAATCGTTGGAGATAACATACAAAGGATAGAAGGATGATCCATGGTAATCGAGGTGCGAAGATTGCTAATCTAGCGATTGGCTCAATGGTCATGCAACCAATCCCCTCCTACACCGATCCACTAGCCCTATGTCACCTCATTTAGCTTCATGATACATGGATATAACCTATCTCCTCTAAATGGGTTCTACCCATCCACATTCTAGGCCATAGAGTCGATGGTCACGCATCGATACCCTAACTTTGCCTAGGTGGACGTCTAATAGGTAAGGGTACAATCCACTCGTCCACCATACTAGATTCATAGATCAATCATCCTAACCTATCATGCCAAGATCGTTCAATCCTTACATAACCTAGATCAAGCCTTAACTAGGCTAATCATAGAAAACAAATGGAGTGACAAGTACATAGCATAATAATCATAGATGGAGCATAAACAACACTATGCAAACACAATTCATCCATAAATCACAAGAAAGAGGATGATAAATCCCCTACCACCTATGTTGCAACAAGGGCAAATGGGATACATACAATCCCACACTACTTGATGCAAAGCAAAAACAATAATTAAATAGACCTTGATAGATAGGTTCGTAATCATTCACAAATCAAGTCTAAACCATCTGATTACATATGAAACCCTATGTTAGGGTTTTGGGGACTAAGCCTAAAGTACCTTGAGGGACTATCACATGAAGAGGGGAAGAAATAAGAAAGAAGGGTCTTCAAGTGTTGGAAATCCTCCTCCAAAGCTCTCCTCTACTTCTTCTCCTCTTCTTCTCCAACACTTTACTTCTCTCTCTACCCTCACTCTAGAACAAGAAATCTGCCAAAAACACTTTACTCAAAAGAGAGACCCCAATATATAGATTTCTGGAAATGCGGGCCCTGGCCAGGAGACGACACCATTCTTGCTTTGCTGGTGCAGGAGTTAGCGGGTAAACTTCGCGGTCACGGTCATGAAGTCACGATTGCGATCTCTTCTCCTAGTCTCGGAAGTGAAGGCCCGCGAGTCGACTATCCAGAGTTTATTTCTTCCTTTTACGGTAGTTTCTCCGAGTTCGTGGTCTCCTTATTGTGGTCTCCTTATTGTAGTTTCTCCGAGTTTCTTTCTTCTTCTTGACTTTGCAGGTCCACTTCTCGACCATGATCTCTGCCCCTCTGTTGTGGTCTCCTTATTTTGTCCCCTTTTCTACACTTATGACCCATTTTTGTGTCGAAAATGCAAGTATAATCTAATAAACCCTAAAATGACATGATTTACTCTGAGAAACGGATTCGGGATATATTTGATGAAATATTAACCATTGAGATAAATGAAATGACCCGAAAATACCTAAAGTATAGAGACTAAATAATATAATTTTGTGTGTTATCAACTGCGCATCAAATTGCACGAAACTTCGACATTTTCGGAATTTTTTTGAAGTGCGGTATTGTGAGAAATTTTTTTATAACTCTAGTTTTTTCCCCCATATCTCTACTACTCTACCTTGACAATTGGTATGTCGACATCTCAATCGAGCGGTTAAGACAAACGTCACTTTCATATGACACGTGGTAATGGTGTTGCTTCCATTCAGAATTCAGATCGTGATACGCCAACACGTACCCCAGCTTTCCTGCCTGCCATATTCTCTGCACCACCGCCTCAGTCAAGAAGAAGCTGGCTGTGTTTGTTTTATCTGGCTGTGTTTGTTTTATCCTCCACCTCTCCAGAGTACGTAATCTCCAAATCTAGCAGTTACTTTTGTGCGTTTGTTTTAAAGTTAATGAAATTAATTAAGTAGGTTTCTGAAAGCACAAACCCAAAGTTAAAGCGCGTTTTCTGGACGGCCAGATAGATAATTGCGTATCCGGGGTTTTTCGTGAAACTCAAACAAAGGCTAAAGTCGAGGAGAAGTGGAGAACCCACGAGAAGCAGTGAAGCAAGCAAGAATCTTTTCCGTCCATAAAAGGAAAGGAAGCGTGAAATCGGAGGGGAATCAAGTGAATGCTGGATCCTGAAGCAAATCGAAGAGAACCCAATTGCTAGCAACACTGCGAGCGAGGAAGGGGGGAAAGGCGTTGGCCGGCGATTCGTTTTCCGTCTCTTTCTTCTGGTTTTGGGCTCTTCAGTTTGCTGCTTGATGGTGGGAATCGGTGCTGCGAACTTGAGGGGCTAACAAACGGCGCCATCTCTCCTGCGACAGTGAGTGAACACGAAAGGGGAAAAGAAATGAGTAATCTTTTCAAGGGTTCGCCGTACAGACGGCGCCGAGACCTGGAGTCTGGTAGCCGCTCTGCTGACTTGGACCGCGACCTCGATGACTACGAGTCTTCCAGTCCTTTCAACATTACCAGTACCAAAAATGCTTCTGTTGAGCGTCTCCGCCGTTGGAGGGTAAGTTGATAATCTGTCACTTTCGCTTCTTCCCTCTGAAACCATGGTTGTTCCCGTTCTTCTTATCACCGCATACCTTCGACATTTAACATTATTGCAAATTGCCGACTGGAATTATGCATTTGAACTCTTTTTTCCCCTTTACTCCAGCAAGCTGCACTCGTGCTCAATGCTTCTCGCCGATTCCGGTATACCCTAGACTTGAAGAAGGAAGAGGAGAAGAAGCAGATATTAAGAAAGATCAGGGCACATGCACAGGCTATTCGGGTATATGTCTCATTTGCGAACTCGTAGCTCTGCCTTTTGTGCTATCATCCACTTGCTCGTGATTTTTAATATCTGTATGCTGGACAGGCTGCATACCTTTTCAAGGAAGCTGGACTCCGAGTAAATGGTACTTTCTCCTCTCTAATCTTCAGTGTTTAGTGGGCATCGTCGTTGACAAGTTGTTCGGGTGACATTTGGTTGTCTGGGATAGTATTGCTGCCTCATATCTGTTATTTGTTCCCTTGCAATATTCTTTATTGATCCCTTTGTATGACCGTTCTAATTCACTAGGCGATGTGAATTGCTTCGAAGTATCATAAGATTTGGTTTGCTTCCTTTTGTGAACCTCCTGTTCTTTCTTTATCGTCTTCGATCATGTTAAGGTTCCTACTCTCAGTGAAATTGTTGTTAAGATGTTTGTGCTAGCGCAAAATTTTCCTCATGCCATCGTCAGCCTTCCCTTGTTGATCACATTCTGTTTTAAGTTGTCTATTTTCTTTGGTTAGATATCCATGTGTATGTTCGGGTTGCTTTCTTCATTTTCCCTCCTCACTTCTGATAGAAGGTTTTCGTTTGGCACCTGTTTGTGAATCTAGAACAGCCAACTACCCCATTCGGCTCTTAACTTTAGTCATCGCCATCTTTAGTGCACTGCTCTTCCTTGTTGAGCTGCTATTGTTGGTGAAGTTGGTATTCTATTTATAGATAGTGCACATTGTTTGTTCATACTTCGTAGGCTACCTGATTACTTGCATCATTTTCTTTTTCAGGAACAACAGACCCACAGAAAACCTCAGGCGGGGATTTTGCAGTTTCCCAAGAACAACTTACCACGGTGACAAGGGATCATAATATTACTGCTCTGCAGGAACTTGGTGGTGTAAGTCTTCATTCCACGTTGATATTTGGTATCAGCCATTTGTTTTTCTCGATATTATGAATTTGTGTTTTTGAGTTTTAGTATCTACATTTGTGTTTTTCATCAGGTTAAAGGGATTGCAGAGGCCCTGAAAACGAGTCCGGAGAAAGGAATTCTTGGAGATGATTCCGATTTAGTGAAACGAAAGAATGTGTTTGGCTCTAACACGTATCCTCAAAAGAAGGGAAGAAGCTTTTGGGTAATGCTTTTTACAGTCCCTATATCTTTCCTTTGCATTTTGCTAGCCGCTTGAACATGGAAGAACTCTATCTTATCTGGATCTGGTTGGTTTGCTTTATTGTAGATGTTTCTTTGGGAAGCTTGGCAAGATTTGACCTTAATCATATTGATGGTAGCTGCAGCTGCTTCTTTGGCCCTTGGCATAAAAACAGAGGTGGGACTCGGTGTCAACTGCTGATCACCACATCATGCAATCCATTTGCATATATAGTATGGTGTGAGGTTTACAATTATGGGGAGTTGATCCTCACTTTGAGGATGGTAATGAGTTTTGCTTGCTTATTATGGTGCATATATAGTCTACTGTTTTAAGTTTATGGGATTATCGAGTTCCTATTCAATTCAAATTGCAATCTAACATGATGAGGCATGTTTGTTCTCTAGATTTAGTGGTTTTATCAGCATTCTGTTGCTCTGTTTTCCCCCTTGAAATTGGTCTTGGGAGGTATTTCCTTATAGTTTTGCACTTGTCCTCATTCTGACTCTATATTTTGGTTTTGATGCGTGGTCGCTTTACTTGGTATTTAATTTCTTGCAGGGTATCAAGGAAGGCTGGTACGATGGTGTCAGCATTGCCTTTGCTGTTCTTCTCGTAATTGTTGTAACTGGTATGATATTTTGTCTGGAATCACGTTTTAGCTTTGGAAAGTGGTGTGTTTCCCCTTGGCACACCTACGTTATATTCACTTTTAATACTTAGCTGATAACTATTTTCGCTGTTAAGGCTTCACTAGTCGCTTCATAGTCATTTGTCGAAGGGGATCTCACGAAAAGCAGGATTATGTTCATTTTTATGATCTGGTTATTAGGTTTCTGTCTGTTTGTATGTTTTGCATATTGGTCATCAGTTTCTTGACTTCAGATGCTGCTAGATTCATTATGGCTAGTAATATATATTTATGCTCATGTTCCTTTACTTAGAGTATGTGCGGCCTGCTACTTGTGATGTGCTTTATTAGTTAGTTTCCCTTCTTATCTTTTTATAAAAGCTCTCAATCTCTCATTCAGAGTCTGTCCTAGATGAAAAAGTTCACAGGCTGGAAAATATCATCCGTAAAATAAAAATAAGAAGTGAAAGCAAAATACTAGCTAGCTTCGTTTATTAATGGAGAAGGTTTGTGGTCGAATTCATCTAGCTAAATTATTTTGAAAAGAAGCCCAAGAGATTGGTCTACGGTGTTTGTGGATGAAAAAAACATGTACTGCTCTCTATTTTCAATGCTTCAGGTCTCGGGGTTCACCATTTTTAAAGACAAACCTTCAGAATAGAGCTATTTTGTTAAAAATCGAAGCCCTTAATGTACCGAAGAGGCTAGTATGTAACCCATGTGCATGGTACATGACTACTCAAGTCTGATTCTGTGTTCACAAGCCTTCCATGGTGTGTTGTGGAAAACCTTTCCGCTGGCGCTGTTGTTTGTGGGCCTGTCCTGCATGTATTGACAGCGCTTTGGTCTTCCATCAGCGACCGCTTGTTAATAATAACTCAGCAGTTCATGACATGTCAGGGCCTTGCTAGCTATTATTAGCTAACGCCTAATTGTTTATTATGTGATTCTTGCTGTATCACTAGAGGAAACATTTTTTTCAGATTTGGCCTTGTTATATGTTGGTAAACTACTTCTCGAAATGTTTATGATTATCATCCACTCTGGAGTTTCCTGATTTAAACTCTTACGTTTTTCAGCTATAAGTGATTATAGACAGTCCCTGCAATTCCAAAATTTGAATGAGGAGAAGAGAAACATACATTTGGAGGTATTATTATTCTAAAAGCCCAAGTTCCCTTCTCTTCTCATTTCTCTTCCGCTGCCAGTCTGTTACATATGTGTTCTCCTGTATTGTGTTTTATGGTCATTGACATTCCGCCTCCTCTTTTCATATAACCCTTGCAATGCTGGTTTTAGTTTCCCAGGCTCCTCTCTTCCATTTTTCATGTACTCTACAGTATCATCTCACTTTTAATGCGATTCCTGATCTTACCTTTTCATTAATGGTGCTCATCACTTATTAGAGTTCCTTTCACCTTATGTAATTTCTATTAAAAGGGGATTTTCCATGTAGGTTATCAGAGGTGGAAGAAGAGTTGAGGTTTCCATATATGACATTGTTGTTGGTGATGTCATACCGCTCAACATTGGTGACCAGGTAAGCCCCTCACCAACGTATTTATATGTTCTTGATTTATGCTTTCTATTTAATCTGTACTTTCTGAATGAATTCAGGTTCCTGCTGATGGAATTTTAATTACTGGCCATTCGCTTTCTATTGATGAATCCAGCATGACTGGAGAGAGCAAGATTGTGAGCATCTCAACTTGTACTGGAGGTGAATTTATAGTGGTCAATTGATTTATGTGGGCTTCCTGATTTTGTAGGTGCACAAGAGTACTTCAGAACCATTTCTCATGTCTGGCTGTAAGGTAGCAGATGGCAGCGGCACTATGCTGGTAAGCTGCTTTTTTCTATTTGTTAAGGACTGTTCTTAGGTGCTTCATTCTAGTTGATCACTTGTTGTTTATATTAGTATGTACATCAAGATTTCGACTGCGGATGTTGCTTGGAGTACACCTGTTTAGGAATTACTCCCACTACTGTTCTCATCAAAGTGGGATGTCATGAATTAGTATCTGCTTGCATGGATGTTTCTCTTATGTGGTGGGAGAAGTGCCTACTTTTTCATATTTATGTATTCTTTTGCTGTCTGAACTTCTCCGAGTCATTTATTATTGTGGCTAGATGGCGTTTCGAGTATGCTCAATTTGCAGTTATGGTTAGTCTTGGTTCCAAGTTACTTGATGAAACATGAGAATGTGTAAACTTTAATTTTGGTACAAGTGCCTAAGCATGGCACTATACATTTTACCATTGGCGCAAATTATGTGGTTTTAGGATGTAGCACTAGGAAAACTTGAGCTCTCAAAACCTTCGTTTGTGGTATCGATGATGTCCTTTGTCACAAATTATTGTCCTTTGGTGCATATTATAACTTATAAGTATTCCTGATTCATATTATACTCAATGAGTATTAGCTTCTTTTTTCTCCAAGTTGGTGAAGGGGGAGTTCGAACCTGCTCTGCCATTTGTTTGAGTCCCTTCTGGGGTCAATTGCTTGCTTTTTGTCTGGTGTGCCTCGCTATGTACTTACCACTATTATTTGGTTAGGTGACGGGTGTTGGAATCAATACTGAGTGGGGGTTGCTTATGGCAAGCATTTCTGAAGATACGGGTGAAGAAACGCCATTGCAGGTTGGTTTTCTTAAGTGCTGTACCTACATCTCAGTTTGTTTGTGCAATGCTCCACTCATCTTTGCTTATTTGGGCACAGGTGCGTCTGAATGGCGTAGCTACTTTTATTGGCATTGTTGGACTTTCAGTAGCTGTTCTTGTCCTGGTTGTCCTGATGATCAGGTAAATGTTCTTTGTTTTATTGTTTTATATTCCTCGCACAATATTCTGAAACTAGAGTACATTCGTATGAGCTTGCCAATTGGTTGATTAGTTTTTACTTTTTTTAACAGGTACTTTACTGGTCACACTAAAAATCCCGATGGAAGTATCCAGTTTAAAGCAGGCCGGACAAGTGTTAGCGCTGCTGTAGATGGAGCTATAAAAATCTTCACTGTTGCGGTATGTGCCATTATCTTGGATATTCAGTTCAAATTATTGATTTTTGGTTAACTAAAGTTATGAACTCTACAGGTTACAATTGTCGTAGTTGCTGTACCTGAAGGGTTGCCCCTAGCTGTTACTTTAACGTAAGTTTTCTATGGAAAGAGGTGTCCTTACTTGGGTTATTGATGCATTTTTGGTTACCATTGACTTTCTTATTCTTTACCTGGATTCTTGTGCCTCATCCTGGATGTGCCTTATAGACACTTCGCATCTAGATTCTTGATTTTTTTTTGTTGCCTCATAAAATGTTTTTTTTTTTGGGTCAATTGTTGCTAATTTGACGACTCGTTTATTTTCTTGGATGATTTTTCATCTTACATGCATCTCTGTTTTGTTATTTGCAGTCTCGCCTACTCAATGAGGAAAATGATGAGAGACAAAGCCTTAGTATGCTACTTTCTTTTTACAGCTCTACATTCTCTCATGTCTGTCAAGCTTTAATTGTCTGCAGCTTAGCTTGTAAGTTATATTGCAGGTTCGTAGGCTTTCTGCTTGTGAAACCATGGGCTCTGCCACAACTATTTGTAGTGACAAAACTGGTACCTTAACTTTGAATGAGGTAAAATCATCTTGAACTTCTCTCACGTGTACTTTTATGCAGAACAAAATATTACTGAGCAGAGGCAAGTGAGAAAGAAGTGTGGGTAAAAGGGTAATAAATTTTTCTTAATGGGTCACGATCATGTGCAGTATCATAACTGTGGTCAAAATTATAGCCGAAACTTTTGGATTCGCTTCGATCTTTCTTGTTAAATATAATACAGTTATTATGGTCAAGTCGATATTAACTCCTTCACCTTGATGCAAGTACTAAGATGAGTGTGTTTTTATGTTTGGGAGCATATGGCAGAATGATTATTACTGCATCAGTAAATCATTTTATCTCCTGATAGGTATATCAGTGTTTCTTTATCTTGGGTTGGGGCCCTGGAGTCGTTTTGATCTTCCAACTCGTTAGCTGTTAATTAACCCCAAAGGGTTAGCCTAGTGGTAATGTGGGGATGATAACTAGGTTCAAACCTTGGACCCAACAATCACCCTTGTTCAATTTGTTGCTGTTTATGATAACAGATGACTGTGGTTGATGCTTATGTTGGAGGTCAAAAGCTTGATCCTCCAGACGACAAGGCTCGGTTGTCTGGTGTCCTTTCTTCTCTACTCATTCAAGGTGTTGCACAAAATACGAACGGAAGTGTTTTTGTACCTGAGGTACAGATTCTTTTTGCTCTCATGTGTGTCTGTATTTTTGGATTGGATGTGTTAAATGCAGAAATACATCTGTTAATACTCATATATAACCTCACAGGGTGGAGGAGATGTCGAGGTTTCAGGATCACCTACGGAGAAAGCTATTCTTGTTTGGGGACTCAAGGTTAATGATGAAAATTAATTATTTGTATTCAGACTGCTTATCGTATCTGGAAATAATTTCTTTTGTTTGTTACCTGCTTCAGCTTGGAATGGATTTTGGTGCTGTAAGGTCACAATCAACCTTGGTCCATGTTTTCCCTTTCAACTCGGAGAAGAAAAGAGGTGGTGTTGCTTTGCAATCGGTAATAATACTTTCGAAAAAGCAAAATTGCATGCTTTATATTGAGCAAGCAGTTTAAGTTGACTATCTTACTTACTGACCAAACCTTCGAGAATTGGTTCTACTAGAATTAGGACCCCTTCACATCATCATTTCTTTGTTCTGGCAACTGTAATCACGAATTAGATTCTGAGGGAGAGGATTGTCTTGGGGAAATGGGAGGATTGTTGGATCCTTTTGCATGATTCATGGGTCCTATCATGTCCATTTATTTGTTCGTGGGGACAATATTACTGCTTACCTCTTCTATTAATCAACGCAATCGATACTTAAAATCTTCTATTAATCAAGGCAATCAATGCTTAAAAAATAAATGGTCAGGGAATTCAACAGCGTCTAATAGGAGCAAAATTTGTGGTGATGAATGCAAAGAACTTTGTGATGTCATAAATAATTTATTGCAATATTTTGTTAAGAACGGAATATACATAACTGGATCATTTGTACACATGACTGTCGTTCGTTCGTCAAATTCATCCGACTGGCAGCCTTCACTATTATTCAGAGTTTTACCATCTTTTCCAATCGTGACTTGTGCTGAATAATATTACATGGTGTATTGTGCTCACTCAATAGGATATAGATTCATGTCAGTTCATCATTGTAGTCTGTTTCTGAAATGCAAAGATCCCAGGAGTGTTGGAGATATTATTGAACTAAGCATGTTCTTGTGCTTAAAATATTATATGAAGACCTTTCATTTATGATCGAGTATATTTGATGTGTTGCTCTTTTGCATGACTTTTTTATTTGTTATGCATCTGGTGCATTGTCTTAAAGACGCTAACTTGAATTTGGGGCTCTGCGCTTGTTGGTTGATATTGAATTCCCATTTCACAGGCTGAATCACAAGTGTATATTCACTGGAAGGGGGCTGCTGAAATAGTTCTAGCGTGCTGCTCAAGGTACAGTGATGCAAGTGGTGAAGTAGTACCCATGGATGAAGATAAGGTAAGGAAAACCTGCTTGTAGATCTTGACTAGGACATATCTGTATCCTGTTATCAGTACAAATCCTTTAATGAAATGTCTTTTTCTCTGTCATTACATTTATGGGATGAAGTTTCCCTGGATGTGTTGATTATTGTTATTTTTAGCCTGTGGTGTTATTTCCTTATTGTGTTACAATTATTCTCCTTTGCAGGCACTCTTTTTCAAGAACGCCATTGAAGATATGGCTGCTCGCAGTTTGCGTTGTGTTGCCATTGCATACAGACCATATGAGGAGAAAGTTCCTGCTGATGAGCAGCAGCTGATGCAATGGAAGTTACCTGAAGATGATCTCATATTGCTGGCTATTGTTGGTATAAAGGTATGATCTGTCAGTAAAATACTGCGAGGCATAATGCTTCAGTCATCATAAACCTTCTATTTTTTTTCTTACCCCATTGGCATTTTGAGACCATTGCGATTCCATTTATGATTATGCAACCTAAGTTCTCTCTAGGCTGGACTTCTGTGACACTGTCAAACAATTGATGCAGGATCCTTGTCGACCCGGTGTTAGAGATGCTATCCAACTATGCCAAAATGCTGGAGTTAAGGTACTTTACTTCTGCTGATGCCTAGGTTTTGGGATTGATATTGCTATTGAAAGGATTAATTTGTTCCTCTAACTGGAACATTTATGTAGCCTTGCATCTGTTCTGGATGTGAATCACCAGCATACTTGGTGTTCTTGACTCCGGTCATGCCATTGTGGGATGGCACCTAAACTGCAGAAGCAGTTCTAGCCTTTGACTTCTCCTTCCTCTCACCTATTGTGGCTTGTCGTTTCTGCTTTGGTTGGAAAACTGCATTTCATAATGAAATGATGTATTAAATTTATTAATACTTGGCTGTTTGATCCGAGTTTGTTGGATAAAATGGAAGGACACACAGGTTTTAAGCAATCCTGCTGTTGTCTGGTTTATTTGTGATATTTTCACTGCCCATGTAGATTGGAAGGACTGGAGAGATGACTCCTTTTCCTCTCCATTTGTTCATTGGGAGGTTCAGTTCACCATATTTCATTGTTATCATTTGTCAAACAAGGTGAACTTAGGGAGCAAGACATATTTGTCCAGGAAGGTTGTGCAAGCTCCAGCATCAAGGAGACTGTTGTCTTGGATATTTATTTGAATCCGTTAAGTGCTGGTAGCTGCCCTCGACTAACGAGGGCATGGGTTCACATCCCTGCCTCTTGGATAAATTTTTTTTGTGCTGGGTTCTGCAGTATGTCATCGTTTCTCTTTAGGCATAATGGATGCCTGAAGCATTGTATATGTGGATGAACCATCAAGTTTGGCCTGTTAAATTTCCTGGAGCAATTATGTGTTCGACCTCTGTATGATATGTGGCTTATATTCTCCTTTGGGCGCAGAAGTTATATGTTGCGCTTCCATATCTTTTCTTTATATTTTTGCTTCAGAGATGCTGCAACATTTTCTTCTTTGATAATGTTGGTAGAAGTACTTGTTGGGCATAATCAAATCGTGGTTGATTTCAATTGACAAAATTTGATCTTGACTATTAAAGTAGGTAACAACTCAAAGGACTTTTAATGTTGCACTATGCATTTCCTTTGTTAGCGCCTTTGTGTTCACCTTGCATATGCTCAACGCTTTCCTGCGACATCTTATGATATATTTCATAGGTGCGGATGGTTACTGGTGACAATCTTCAAACTGCTAAAGCAATTGCGTTGGAATGTGGGATACTAGGCTCTGATGCTGATGCTGTGGAGCCTAATCTTATAGAAGGAAGAATATTTCGTGCCTACTCAGATGAACAAAGAGAAGAAATTGCAGAGAAGATCTCGGTATGCTTCGTATCCACTTGACCTACTATTCTGTTGGCGTTTATCCCCCCCCCCCCCCCCCCCCTCCCCTGAGAGTCTGTAGCAAACAAATTTCGTGGGAAATTATGCATCTGCACCTCAACATGTAGGTCATGGGTCGATCTTCACCAAATGATAAGCTTCTTCTTGTGCAAGCGCTAAGGAAAAGAGGGCATGTTGTTGCCGTTACAGGGGATGGCACAAATGATGCTCCTGCTTTGCATGAGGTTTGTCTATCCCTATCTCTAGTCTCATTTTAACTGTTGGTTGATACATGTGTCCATGTCTTACTATCACTAATTCAATTTGCTTGGCTGTTGTGAAATATTAGCTCTCCCACCATACTGCTCAAAGTGCTTGATTATCTCACAGTTCACTTTCTTTATTGTTTCACGAAAGTTTCTTATTCCGTTGTGGTTTGTGCATAACTCTTTTTTTCTTTGCTGATTTCAGGCAGATATTGGCCTTTCTATGGGTATTCAAGGAACGGAAGTTGCCAAGGAGAGTTCAGATATTATCATTCTCGATGACAATTTTGCTTCAGTCGTTAAGGTTTTTACATGTATCCCTTCAATTACATGTTTCTGTAAAATTCTTAAATTTGAAACCATAACTGCAGATGTTCTTTTTTTCACATACATGTTTCAGATTATCATTGTTTGTGTTTAGCTGAAATATTTTTATAACAGCATGTCGGTGTTTTGGAAAAAATGCATATTTATATTATATTAACTAATGCATTTTACAACTGTAGGTTGTCCGGTGGGGAAGATCAGTCTATGCCAATATTCAAAAGTTTATCCAGTTTCAGCTCACTGTCAATGTTGCTGCACTTATCATAAATGTTGTAGCTGCTATTTCTTCTGGTGATGTGCCATTAAACGCCGTACAGGTTTGTGCGAACCTCATATCTAGTTCTAAGCACTCCTTTCCTAAATAATGAACATGTAACAGGTTTAAAGTCTGGTGCTAATGGATCTTTTTATCTTCCACCGCAGCTTCTATGGGTTAATCTCATCATGGATACTCTTGGAGCATTGGCATTGGCAACTGAGCCACCTACAGATCACCTAATGCATAGGCCCCCAGTTGGTCGAAGGTAAGCAATGGTTTGTAATGGTTAGGGCTGAAATGATCTTCAACAAGTCATGTGTCTTAATGACCTGACTTTTGTTTGACATATTTTCCTGCTGTGAATATCACGAGTTTGGACTTCTTTGAAGGATATGACTGGTGCTTGCTGATGGCTAACAGATCACTTGCAGCTTTTTGTTGCTTCACTTTTATATTCATTGGCTTTTCATTTTGAGTTCGTCTTTGATTCTTCTGTTTGGCTATAACGTTTGGTCATAACAGTTGTTGTTCTCTCCAAGAATTATGATTTTACATATGGACAAATCCTCAATATCTTGTCCATTCGCAACAAAATCTTGGGCCTAATTTTCCTTGACTAATCCGTTTTCCGGAGTTCTATTCTTTGCCATGAGCCCATTGGAATTGATATGTCATCTTACATCAACATGTAAATACTTAATCACTCTATTTCATGTTGTATATGCCTCAGGGAACCTCTGATAACTAATATAATGTGGAGGAACCTGTTGATACAGGTACATGGCGTTTCATTATGACTACACATTTGATATAATGACTTCAGAGTGCAACAACTTATGGTTTAAATTCTTTTCAGGCATCATATCAAGTAAGTGTCTTGCTGGTTCTGAACTTCCAAGGAAAAAGGTTACTGAGCTTGCAGCATGACAATGCCGACCATGCGAACAAAGTGAAGAACACCATCATATTCAATGCATTTGTGCTCTGCCAAGTAAGTCTCCTATTTACTAAACGTGCAACAGATGAGCCTCCTGTACTGTTGGACCTCTGTGGGTCTTGTGTAAAAAAGCTCTGGGAAGATCCTTGTTTTTCATTAAAAATTATAGTTGTCCAAATTAATGTTCAATGAGCCTAGGTAGCGGTGGTTTCCAGAGATATCTTGCTTGTTTTTAGAATTGTGGGCATGGCTGGTCTGTTATGTGTGGTAAATTGTAATTTTTTTTTATCTTTCGAGCTGTAGATCTTCAACGAATTCAATGCAAGGAAGCCTGATGAGAAAAACGTTTTCAGAGGGGTTACGAAAAACCGTCTTTTCATCGGGATAGTTGCAATGACCCTCATACTCCAGGTAGGAACTACGTGCAAAGAAGAGGCAAATTGTGCACGGCTGAATAGTTACCAAATTCTGTCAGCAATTTGGTCTGTTCTCAAATCTTTTTCAGATTTCTGATATCTTATGGGTGTGTGTGTAGGTTGTCATCATTGAGTTCATCGGGAAGTTCACTTCAACAGTAAAGCTGAACTGGAAGCACTGGTTACTTTCAGTTGGTATTGCATTCGTCAGGTATGCAACGATGTACTTTCTTGTGTGTTCATATGCATCAGTACACAGCATGTAAATGAAGAGAATTATTCAACATTCGCGTCTCGCGTAACCTTATAGACTGTAGTGTGCAGTACACCCTTACTCCCTCCTCATTTCCTTTACTATTTATGTGGTTGCTTGGCTGGTATGTGACTTGTGATTTTTCCAACAGCTGGCCGCTTGCGATTGTTGGTAAGCTGATTCCTGTCCCTAAAACTCCTCTGCACGAGTTCTTCACGAGGAAATTCTATCGACATGGACGACATTAACAAGGGTAAAACATCATTCTAACCTAAGCCTTTCTGGTGATACGGACTATGGAGAGACTCTTGACGGTTTATTTGATCCCGATTGTTTTTCAGGCCCGAAGCGCTACAGGAAGGAGGAATACAATTATGCGTCCCGATTGTTTTTCAGGCCCGAAGCGCTACAGGAAGGAGGAATACAATTATGCGGCTACTGACAAGTATAGAGTACTAGCTCTCTTTTTTCGTTAGCGCGATTTTTCTCTTAGTGGTTGTTTATATCAGAGAAAAGTAAGGAAAAGGGACCGAGGACATTGGCTAGCAATCCAGGTGGCCCTGTTTTCTCCAACTCTTCAATTAGTTGTGAAGTATTCTATTCCACTGTGCAGATACTCTTTAACTCTCATCCTCGTTGCAAATGCATAGTGGCAGATCATTATCCTGGACTGCTACTGTGTGCGAATTTTACATTTTGTGGCGGTGGTGGTGCAATCGAAAGTTGAGTGTGGTAATTTTGTTTTGTAAAACTTCTGTCACGGCATTGGATGGAGTTTTTGTTTGTTGAAATTTGCTAAGATTTGTACCAATGATTTGTAAAGGGTGATGCTAGTGTGTCAATACTGTTTTCATTAGCATGTTGTTAACATTAGCTCCAACCATCAGGAACATTTTGTTTGGATGGATTTTTCATTTAAATGAGTCGACTAATGAAGGGGAAGACGTAGAGGAGTACGCTAGTTACTAATAAAATTAGGTAAAGTGGAATCACGTGTGCATCTACAAAATCCTCCGCGCAATTCAGGCCACAAACCATAAAATCCAGGTCACAAACTACAAAATTCGAGCCACGAGTCGTCCAAATCTTTAACAGATCTGTTCGTAAAATTTTAATTGTTCAGGTATCAAAATGTAAGAGAAAATTGTAGGTACTAAATATAATTTTCAATCAATATTTTTAGGATTTATATGTAAATAAAATTATTTTAGGCACTAAATATTGAGTTGTATTCAGTTTTTCATCAATATAGCTTCCCATATCGGTAAACCTATAGCCGTGGAAGTAGGGGGAAGCATCTGTGCGAGCAGTGGTGGACAAAGCGAGAGCAAGAATGTCGGCTTGAGTTCATAGGAAAATTATTGCTAATTGACAGAAATGAGAAGCAAAAATATTCCAACGACAAAAGCACTCTGTTCGGCCGACTTTGACACAGAGGCAAAAGTTAAGGGGATTGCTAATTATCGCCCTGTGTTTTACTTTAATCGCCCTAACTTACAAATAAAAAATTACTTTTTTATCCTTTTCTTTGTTTATTATTTAAGAATAGTTTTATTTTTTAACAAACTACGCATAAAAAAATAGTTGACAGTTGCAAATATTATCCCACCGTTTCCCGTTCCGAAAGGAGGGCGATTTCAACTCCCACAAAACTGAAGGACTTATCATTTTTCCCCCGGCAAATTGAAGGTCTAATTGTTGCCGTTTTTGCGTTCCCTTCCTCCATCTCATTATCAATCGAATTGGGTCTCAGGGATATGCCTGTGGGAGATAACGGCATTAATCTGGCGATGCGGCTCCTGCAGAGAACGGGATCTGCTCTGTCGTCGCCGCCGGGGGGTGTAATACCGTCGGAGACCGAGAGTAAGCAAGCGAGCAATCCAGAGGCTGGACGAGGCGGCGATGGAGTCCGGGAGGAAATCGTTGGCGGACGATTACTTGAGGAAAATCGAGGGATGCGAGGATAACATCTATGATTACTTTGTCAGAAACGATGGCGGCGAGGCGAAATCGCTGTTCGGAAAGCTGGTGGAGGACTGGCTGTTCGGGAAGCTCAAAAGCTTGATAATGGCCGCCACCCCTGGCTGGGATCTGTATTGATGCGAGAGATAGGGTTGATAGGGGTTGTTTATTTTTGTTAATTTTGTATTTAGTTCTTTAAGGTTATTTAAGTAATTTTGCAGTTTTAAGTTAGGGCGATAAAATAAATTAGGGCGAGGTTTAGCCATTCAGAAAGTTAAGGGAGTGAAGGTACCAAAACTGTAATTTGTCAAAGGTGTACGTTCATGAGCCCATGCTAACGTGTCAATCAATGTTTGCCAATAACCCCGCCACGAAATTAAGAACATAAATCCAATGGCCCAAATAAGATCATCCAAGCCCATACCGATAAACTATCATACCAAAGGGATTATACCCATTAATAAGTTGTGAAGAGTTTAACCATAGATAATCTCTTAACCATCCCATCAAATAAGTGGAGGATTCATTAATATGTGAAACATTACCCTGCCATAAAGTGATTTGTTTCCAATGCCAATAAAAAGTAGCACATCCAACCGTATTTAACATCCAGAATATCACCAAATAAAATGCATCCCAAGCTGAAATCTCACAAGTACCTCCCCGTCCCTGACCGTCGCAAGTAAAACTATTACTATAGTACCTTTAATGAAATTGTTAGCACCCTGTCTCCTCTCTTTGTGTAGGATCCTCTCAACAGGATAGTAAACGTACGATCTTCCAAAAACTATGCAGCTAGACCGTTTGAAAAATTAGGATCAAATTGGACTGCATAGTTTGGTTTGAACCGTTGATCAATGATAAATATTGTCTTCTCCGGTTCATGTCTCTATTATTGTAATTAGGCCTATTCTATCCTATTTTTAAGTACCCAAGCTTGTATATGTCTCATGTAGAAAGGTATTGCAACCCCATCCACCTCGGGTACCCGTGGTTAATATCCGTCCTATACAATCAATACTATTATACCTAAAATTTATATTTAAATTTTCATTTATAACAGAGAAGAAGGTATCAGCAACGACATGTTTTATTACGGTGTTGAGGCACCTTTTCTTACTCAAGGGTGGATAAACTTCGTTGAAACGGAGGAATAAAGAAAGATGAACATTAGAAATTGCTTATTTTGCTTTCTAGCGGATCGTTCGTACTTTCTCATACAATTAAATCATGACCATTCGTTCCAGTAAAAAATAAGAGCATTACCAAAGATTTTCAAAGAAGAAGTGTTATCCTAACGTAGATTTGCTTTTGCCTTAGATCAACCTAACGGGTCGTTTGCTTGAAGGTTTTGATGATGGATTTGGTCATGGAAATCCATCGACCATGGACTTGAACGAAAATTCATCATTTGATGATGGATTTGGTTATGCAACTATAAACGTTTATAATGTCGTATTTTTATATAAATATGAGAATTTATCATCCCATTTGTAAAGTCATATTTTATTTAAATATGAAATGTGTATGTGATTTGTTGAATTCAACTATAAACACCTTATTCTCATCTTGTGCGTTATTATTTGAGTGGGCAAGAAAATGATGAGTTGTAACAATAAGGCGAGCAACTAGTTGCAACTGATACATAATATTAAGTACATTATTTGATGAATTGTTAATTACTGCAAAATTGTGATACATTTATGTATTTGTAATTGAATTATTAGTCCACATAGAGGTATATAGTTTAAAATTTCTTTGTATGTATTGGATTTGTTTTTAATGTACCCTAAATTTCCTTGTATCGTGTCGTTGGTGGTACCTTTATTTAGTATTTACTAACACTTCCCCGCTAACAGAAACCAACTTATACGTGATAAATTTTTCGCAAAGGTGAATATCATGTGCTAACAAATGGGGTTGTCAACATTCGAACACATGATCTCTCAGTCAACCATTCTCAATTAGAAGCACCCTAAATTTCATTCTCAATTAACTATTATACTAATTTTTTTATTTTTGTACTTAGGAGCCACCTGTTACACTCTCCCTACCCCCTGATTGAAATAAAATTATTTTTACAAATTAGCTATGATTTGGTGGAAATTTGTTTTAGATATTGAATAAATACATCTTTAATTTTGGGTGGATCATATGGACCATTGTCATTTGTACATAACTCGTTATAAGAACATTGAATATGTCAATACACAACTTATAAATCATACATCAAATATTTGAAAGGTCAAACATTATCATTTAAATACGTGTTATTTTCGTACCCGATTAAATATTATATCTAATTTGCCATTTTCCTCCTGAGACCCACCCTCTAAGCCTCTCCCTTTGCCCCTGCCCTTTAGAATATCTATGAAAAAATAGTAAAACACTGACATCGACGAGAAGCAAGGCTCTTAATCCGCGGGTCGAACTGTCGGTTGGCTCGCTTTGATGCTGACCCGATGAGAGAAACCAGGATGTACACACACGTCGAGTCGACGCGCTACAAGGTATCGTATTGGTGGCCAAATGGCATCGTTTTTCATTTGGTTTGTGAATTGTGCCTATTTTCCGGTTTTCTTTTCGCCTAACACAATCTTTAGAATTCTAAGTTGAATATTGATGTTATATAAATGTGTGTGAATTCTCACTATATGTTGGATCCAAATACGACTCGTTATTTTGGTATAATGTTATATAGTATTACTCATATGTTTGATGAGATTTTATATAATTAATAAATGTATAAACAATATAATAACTTTTAGCCCTTGTTATAAGAACCGAACCGAATTAACGGTCGGGCCAGTAGAACCGTCAAACCAGTTACGATAGCTGTACGGTTCATTGTTTGAACGATTATTGATGGACCAAACGGTTTTTCACGGTTCAACATAAAATCAGATGAACCGACACGGTTTAGCTGGTCCATTGGTTCACTATTTTAACAAAAAATATATTTTAACATAAACTAAGACCATCAAATCATAATTATTAATTTTATATATGCTTCCTCAATCTTATTGTCGATTTTACATTGTCTACTACCAACTAGAACCGTAATTTTTAATTTGAATTAAAAAATGTGGTTTCTTTTGTGAGATGGTTGGAATGATTTATTAGATATTTTCGTGATGATATGAATTTGAACTTGTTTATGGTCAATGATAATTTCATTCTTAAATTAGTGTAATATACAAGTCTTATATGTTATATATCATTAATGGTTCTATCAACGGTTAACCGGTGAACGCTTACATCACTAACTTTTCCGGTTCAGCCTCCGGTCCGGTTATGAAAACAGAGCTTTTACTTTAGCATATGTCCGGACTAAATTGAATTAAAGCTGTCGGCCGAACCAACGAACCTGGTTGACAACCGGAAGTCATTTTCGCGAACCAAATTCCTCCTCCGCCCAGCCAGCCATCCGATTTTGATTCTACAATTTGATTCACTGAACTGACAGACGTGGCAGCGCCCGATTCGCAATGGTGGCGTAAACATTAATCTAGTTAATTATTCCATATTCGGGGTCATTTCCGATAATTCGCTTCAATTCCCATTGTTAGCCTTTGTTGGTATATAGCAAGCTTCTCGTTCCTCTTTCCAAATTTCTCTCACGCGTTGCGCCCAAGCTTCCATTTTATTTTTCTCGTCTTTCCTTTTTGCTGTTGCTCTCTCCTCTCGCGTTTCCCTCCTCATCTCGCCGATCCCCTCTGCGAAGAACATCTCCAGAAAGGTACGATTTAAGCTTCGATTGCGTTAGCGAGAAATATATAGATTGGCGGAAAAGAAAAAAATTCGCTCTGATTGAGCGATTTTGAATTTTGAGATTGATTTGTTTCCGCTGCTTCGACTGATCTGGGAGAACTACGTTGGTAGAATCGGTTAGATCTGTTGCGTTCCGTTTCTGCGTGTGGAATTTCCGGCATAGCAGACGTGATTTGGCTGATTCGAGCTGGAATTATGGATTTAGCGAGAGCGCTCTGTGATTCCATGTTTTCTCCCTTCCGATATCAGCTCGCATTTCTGGTTTCGCGCGCTCTCGTCTTTTGGTGGTAGATCTGTTGGATCTATGCGGTTGGTTCGTTTTCTGGCGTTCTTATGGGGTGATTATCTGTTTGTTTGTAGGGATCAACAGCAAGGAAGAGCGAAAATGGGGCTGACGTTCACGAAGCTTTTCAGCCGGCTGTTTGCCAAGAAGGAGATGAGAATTCTCATGGTTGGTCTCGATGCAGCTGGTAAGACCACCATCTTGTACAAGCTCAAGCTTGGCGAGATCGTCACCACCATTCCCACTATCGGTAAGCTCCTCTCTCTCTCTGGATTTCCTCACGAGTTTGTTCGTAGGGTTAATGTTCCATAGCACAATCCAGACGCTAGATGTCAACTCTTGCTTCTTGAGATGTAGTTTGCTGGTTATCTGAATCGATGTGATTTCTTTCTCGATATTTTTCGAGATTTATCTCTTAGTCATTGAAAATGGTTGATGCCTGTTGCATGACCATGTTGGTGCTCTCACATTAGTTCTAGACTGGTATTATGTGTATTTTTAATTACGTATGCTGGTCTAAGTGATTGCCTATTGACATGTCAAGTACATACGTGGTGTGGATTAGAAGTTCTGCTTGTAGATTCAACATTTGCTTGTTGTCTGTATTCATGAACTATTCACATGTTCAGGATTCAATGTTGAAACCGTGGAATACAAGAACATCAGCTTCACCGTGTGGGATGTCGGGGGTCAAGACAAGGTATTTGATTTTGAAGCTTTAAATTGAATTCACGTTCTGTTTTGGCAGAGGAATTATTCTTAAACTGTTTAAATTCATTCAGTATATGGGAGTTTGGGCTTGTCCATTCTACTAATGGATTTAATAACCATGTGCCCTTCTTGTTACAGATCCGCCCATTGTGGAGGCACTACTTCCAGAACACTCAGGGCCTCATCTTTGTTGTGGACAGCAATGACAGAGATCGTGTTGTCGAGGCCAGAGATGAGTTGCATAGGATGTTGAATGAGGTACTACCTTTTCTGAACTCGTTTTGTTTGTCATTCTCATCTTAGTATCCGATTTGACTGCCAATGAAAGGCTAAACGGTCAAGCTACCATCAACAAAGGCACATGCTAATGCTCTGCATAAATAGTTAAATACATTTGAGGGGCTTATGTTTTATCATGCTCCACTCATTTCTCGTTGTCGGTTTAGCTAATAATCCAATGAGTTTTTTGGGGGGGAAAGAAGTCTAATCTTTGTCATCTCTACCAAAAATCCATTGCCTATGTACTAGAATTGTGGCACTTGTGGTGTGTGTTACTTATATCGATAAAGGCAGGGCAATGCTGAGATATGGTAAATATACTGGATTCCATCATGATTAGGTGAACTGAGTTCTTATGTCCTATGTGTTCTTTCTTCTGCGCGTTGTGTGCTTCCATGTTGCATGATTATTTTATTTATTACTAGTTTGCGACTCTGATTCATGGACGAGGGGTATTGATCTTATCTCAACAGCATATACAGGCAAATCCTGATGATCTTATTGTGCCATTGCTTACAGGACGAACTGCGAGATGCAGTGTTGCTTGTTTTCGCTAACAAGCAGGATCTGCCAAATGCAATGAATGCTGCAGAGATAACCGACAAGCTTGGTCTCCACTCCCTCCGCCAGCGTCACTGGTAATGTTATGATTCCTCCCAAGTTACCAACCGTCCACGTCCATGGGTGAATTTTACATTGGTGTAGATCTCAAGGCTGATAGTTGTAACCACTTACCACCGCGGTCATTGACCTTACAGGTACATCCAGAGCACCTGCGCAACTTCTGGTGAGGGCCTTTACGAAGGTCTGGATTGGCTCTCCAACAACATTGCTAACAAGGTATGTATACATGGGGAGGATAAAAAGCTTGTTAAAAAGAGTGTACCGATTTCTGATTTTCGTCAATGGTTTTTGTTCAGGCTTAACTCTGGTGAGGCAGCCGTTTTGTGGATGACGGATCTGGATGCAGGGGTGAATGTTATCTAGTTTATCTTCTCTTCTCACTTTTTTTTTTTTTTTTTATCTTTTACCGTTCTTTCGTTTCTCCTCCCCCTTCCTCCCTCCCGAGACATTTGGTTTTTTTGTTTCTGCATATTTATACTCTTTTTTTTTTTTTTTTTAATCTTTCGTTTTCCCAGCTCCCTCTTGGTTTGGGAGGGATGGGATGCCTTCTTTTATGTTAGGACCTCTTTTTGGATGGGTTACAGTGTAATAGAATACATATATATTACTGTTATGTTGGTTGGATCTTGTACTCTCACCGAGAATGTTTCATTTGGCTTTGGAATGGATCTTCATGTGGCCGTGGTTTGGGCCGTAGGAGCAGGGAATGCAGGCTGCCCTCCGATGATTCTCTTGCTAATGGTTAGTAATTAACTACAAAATCAAAAGAAAACAATTGGGTAAATGTCGTCTATAATGTGTAGTTACTGAAAAAATTGATATAATATCAATGTTAATTACTCTAATTAGTAAAACGGTCCTGTTAGGTCGTGTTTAGTCACTCTTTGTTAGTCTCTATTAACACCATCAGTCAATTGCTTATGTGGCTAACAGCATCGAGTCAAGGTCGAATGTTGTTTTGTTTAGGTTGGGTTAGTTTATCAACGAGTTGAGTCGAGTCAATCTCAAACAAGTTCATTTATGAAACATTGACTCATCCTTAAGATCATAAGTTCATGTTGAGCTCAACTCACTTATTCCAAATAGTTTGATCCTTAAACTGAACTCCAAGACAACTTACAAATTAAATACTCTAATATTCATAGGTCATGTATGATGCATGTAATTAACTGATCTCATGTTTATACACTCTGTTGGTATCGCATTAATTAGCTCATGAACTTTATTTAGGTCATATCATGTAATTTTATCGTAATTAGTATCTAAGCATTTATAATACATAATTTATCTTTAGATTATAAAGGAGACATTTATTCACGTACTCAAAGTCTTAAACAATCTATGGAGTGATATATACAATTTAAAAAACTATGAATTATCAGCAAACCAACTCATAATATAGAGATCAATTTTCTCATAAGTCACGTAATCGGGTTGGGAATATCTTGTCTCAATGCGAAGACATCTCATGAGCTCAAAACGAGACAGTTCACGAGTTGAACTCAACGAGCCACGAAGCCAACGAGTATCACGAGTCAAACAAGGCTCAGCTAAAACTCGGCTCGTTCAAAAAATAAATCATTTTTTTTCCCTCGAACCGAACGATCTTTTCCCGAAAGCGAACGAGGAGCCGTTCGCTCCTAAACCGCTCAACTAGTTGCCAACCTCACTTTTGTCATCCCTAAATAAATAAATAAAAGTTCAAGTAAGGTGGTGAGACTCTTGCCAATAAGTAACCATTTCTGCGTTTGTAATTATACATTTCAAGCTACTACTACCGAGACTGCTTAATGATATACCCGAACAGAAAAAAAAGGAACCTCAAAAGTTGTAAAAAAAAAAAAAAGGCAAGACAAGACGCGACCAAGAACAATGAAAACCCAAATCTCCATAACTGATAGTAATAAGTAATCCCATCGACATCGGGAACCTTTTCACTGATTCCGCCACTTTAAACTAAAGTTTTCAACTTTTAAGTTTTAACCCCCCAACCCCAATCGAAATTAATTACCACCCATAGCAACAACGGGCCATCGATTTAATTAACGCCTAGGAGGCTCGCCATCATGAAACTCCATGGTGGGATAGTGCCCATCACCTTTGAAATGAGGGTTATGGTTACCACCGCCGCCGCCGTGTCCCTTCTTCTGCTGATGCCCACCGCCGTTCATCATCAGCATCCCATTCACACCGCCACGGTGAACATTATGATTCGCCGGCGGCGGCGGGGGAGGAGGCCCGTAAGGGAAATACGGCGCGTTGTGATTGCCGTCCGCAGCAGCAGCAGGCTGAGGCTGCTTAAAATGAGGCCCACTGGGCCCTTCCCGCCGGCCCATTGGAGGAAACCCACCACCACCTTTGTCGAACCCAAATTCGATGTCATCACTCTGGCCCACCTTGGAATTCTGGGGCTTCCCCTTGCTGCTGTTCTTCTTGTCCTTGTTCTGCTTCTTCCCCTGTTTATGCTCTTTCCCGCCGCCGCCACCACCATGCTTGCTCTTGCTGCACACCCGCCCCAGGCAGCACGCCACCGCCGACACCACGATGATCACCGCCAGCACGATGAACACCGACCCGAACGACCCGTTATTCGAGTGGGATTCCGCTGGCGGGCCTCTCGCGGCGGCCGTGTCTGGGTACACGAGGACCGGCGACTGCTGCTGCTGCTGCTGTTGCTCTGCATATGGCTGCTGTGGAAGGGTTGCCATTTTTGTTTCTTTTCTTTGAGATTTTTGGGGTTGGTGGGTTGGTTTTAAGTACTGGGAGAGGTTCTTTGAGTGAAGTGGGAGAAGAGAGACAAAGAGGTTGCCTATAAATGGGGTTTTGGCACAATCATGGAAGTGTTTGTGTTTTTCTTTCTTTTTTTGAAATTTGGAGTGGGGATGTTTTAAATTTTCAATAAAGGGGGAAGTTTGATGGCTTTATTAAAGAGAAGCAGACAACTAAAGATATTCTGTTGATGACGAGTGGGTAATGGGTTCTTTCCTTTAACCATCGAGATGGGGCACTTCTATTCCATCTCTCTCTCTGCTTTCAGCTTGGTAATACGAGAAAGCAAGATTTTGGAGACTTTGCTTTGCTTGCTTGCTTGCACAACTAAACTATATTGTAATACTCAAAAGGAAGAAGAAGGGAAAGAAGCATCACTTGTTTGGTGCTCGATACGATACTCTTAGACCAATCATTGACATCAGTCTGATTCCAAACCTTGCAGATTATTGAAACCCATTCTTGCTTATCTCACAGTTTTAATGGTTTGACACTGTTGCCTTGAATGACTAACATCAAATACATTAGCCCGCCCGGTGCATATACACGAACCAGACACGAATCACGACTGCGACTGGCGATTTACCACAGACACAAATGAAGCATTTGGCCTTTTACTTTTTCCAGTAGTTGTTGGTTTGATCGATTCAGTAGCTGCTGCAAAAGCAACTCAGGAAAGAACGAGCCTCTCCCTGCTAGACATGAGTCTGATGATGTACCTGGTCATCAGTGTGAAAGACGAGAACAACCAACAACAAGAAGACAAAATAAAAAGCACAAACAAAAGAAGATCGAGGAACACAAACAAAAACCAGAAAAGGTGTCGTCTTGAAAGGGATTTTGGGGGGCGAGTGGGTAATGGGTAATGGTGCTTTTTCAACATCTGATATGATATGGTGTTTCGGTCCAAGATGCAGGGCTGGGCTACTATGGAGCAACTTTAGTTGTGTGTTCAAGTTCAACATTGGGATTAGCGTCCAATATCTTTGACGCTTTCTTTTATATGATGCAGATAAAGCTAAAACCCAACATAGAGATCTGGCTCCACTGCTGCTGCTGCTGCTGCTGCTGCTGAATGGTTGGGAGGGGATTAGGGCTTTCAGCAGAGGCGCCTGCATTGTTTTTCATACTACTGCTACTGCTACTACTGTTCATGTCACCTAGCTTTAATTTATTCCTTGCTTCGTTTTCAAAGAATGATTCCCGTCATGTCCAATCCATCTGGGGCTGATCCTTCTTTTTATGTCCACCATTATGCAGATCTGGGTCTGGATTTTGATCACATTCTACCCCATACATGCAAAAGAATTTTTTATATATAATATATTTTGGTGTTGATGACATTAGTCACTAATTACGATCGTATTTTGAGTTTTCCGAACGATTTAATCTAAGTCGAAATTTATAAATTGTATGAAATGAGCAAAAGTTTAAACCTAGACAAGAGTCAAGAATCGACCGAAAGGAAGGAGCTGGACAGAAGTAAGGCTACAAAAGGGTTGAGTCTAGTCGTATTTTGATCTAATTTTAGTTCAACTTAGCTTTTTTTTTTTTTGTCATAGAAACCCCTGCGGATTAACTAGATAAGCACGAGATAGCCACAAAACAACGGCTTCTTCGTGAGAAGATAGTCAAAGGAGGAATGAACAGTTAAAACGAACACTACTAGTGCCAGAGTAGCATAAGGCATTACGTGCCACAACATGGGCAGCCCTATTCGCTTCTCTAGGAGTAAAAACAACAGAAACCAGCGGCATTTCTTGTAACATTAAGATGACTTCTCGTAAGATAGCTCCCGCAAGAACATCGTTGGCATCAGAAACCGTCAAATGGTGAACAACAGCAAGAACATCACTTGTGATCACGACCGGTCGATCCTGCCACTGCCATTGACGAAGTAATAAAAGCGCTTCTCGAATTGCCAACACCTCCATAATCTTGGGATGAAAAAGACCAGGGAAGAAACCACCCCTTGCAAAAACTGGCACAAGATGAGCAAAGCCAACCATACCGATGGCGCCATGAGTCGGAGCCCTGGTAGCCCCATCAACAGCAATGCGGAAACTAGATTGAAGCAACGCACGAGAATGTGGCCGGGATCTGGGCGGTAACGGAGGCGACTGACAGGGAATGACGGCAATTTGATGAGAGGCATGATGAGAGAGGAGTTGACGGTACAAGGCAGCAGTGGTAAATTGCGCATAGGGTGTGAAGACAACATTGTTCCGCCCTTTCCATAGTCGCCAAAAAAAAGAGAACCCAATTGATTATGGTAGAATGATCGAAATTGAGAATAATGTGCCTTAAAAAGATGGATAAATGTGTGTTTGGAAAAATTCCCGGAGGCAGCTGTAAGCCACACCGATGGCGGAGGGCTAGTGCACACGACACGAAAGGAATAAATGCTCTAGCGACTCCCCCTCCTCTGAACCACAAATAGGGCATAAATTTTCCACCTGCACACCATGCCGAGCAAGATCCTCTCTAACCGGTAGGATTCTTAATAAAATCCTCCATAGGAATTTTTTTAATTTGGGCGCCAGAGGAAGACCCCAAAGTCGAGGCCATAAATTAGGATCAAGTGGAGAAACCTGGTCCACTGAACCATGAGACCGGGCAACTGGACACAAGGTAGTCGCTAACCGATAAGCTGACTTTACCGTAAATAAGCCACGAGGATCAAAATGCCAAATCAACTTATCCGGGCACATGAGTCGTGGCAAAGGTATGCGAATGATACATGTAATGGAATCCTGCGTGAAGAACTCTCCAAGACGTTGAAAGTCCCAAGAGTGATGAATGGGAGAAATGAAATAAGAGAGGAAACGAGGTGTCCGATCAGCAGCGAGCAGGACCATTGGACGAAAACCTAGGATTGAAGGAACCCAAGGATCCGTCAACGCATCAATGGAAGAACCGTCTCCTACCTCCCAACGCAAACCACGATGTAACAATGCCCGGCCATGAAGAAGTGATTGCCATGCCCAAGAGGAGTTAGAACCCAC